ATTTAAGTAACTTTTTATAATAGATTGATTTACTTTCAATTTATTAGTATAATAACTTTAAAATTATACCGGTCTAGAAGCTAATTAATATTAGATAGTATATTAGAAGTTTATAATCTTTTTATACGTTATGGCTTATTATAAGTTTTAACGAATTACTTCGTATAAATTTTAGATTAGTTAGAGTATAGTATTTACTATTATAAACAATATACTCTTTCGATTTGAATATTTATACGTAGTATATATATAATTGCTACCGGATAATTATTTCGATCCTAACGTCGAATTAAATCTTAGTTTGAATGCTTTTAATAATTATATTAGTACGATTAATAGGACCTATATTGTTACTTTTATTAAGAGGGATAATTAGTTGAGATAGTATAACTATAAGGGTAATATATCCTAAAATATATTTATTATTATTAAATTTAATTACTCTTTTACGTACGTATTAGTAGGAGTAGAGGGGTTGATAAACGATACTTTACTTTATAATTAAATATTCTCGCGCTTATTTTATATCCTTCGAAATTAGTATTATATAATAAATATTAGGTTTAATGTAAGGTAAGGTATTATAATTCCTTTTTTAAATATTAGATATTATTTTTAAAATTGGAGGAATGTAGACGTATAATTAAAAGACCCTAAAAAGTTATATAATTTATAGTATATTCGTATTCGTATTATTGTGGAGTATATCTTTAGTTATTTAAAAAGGTAATAGAAAATTGTAAGGATTATACTTTTCGAATATAGTTTAGAGAATTAGCGGCGAATTGTATACGCGGTAATAGCGTTTTATAATTTTATCTTAAAGTATATTAAATAACCCTACTAATTGAATTAAAATAAAAAAAGGTAGATAAAGTAGGTAAAAGTAAGGGCGCAGCGGGTTATAAGGGGTATATACTCTAATTATATTAAATAGAGGGTATTATAATTAATATAGTATAATTAGTAAAATTATTTGAAAAAGAGGAGGAGATAATATAGTAGGTAGAGTAATAAGGTATAGGAAGGTATAGTAGTAGGGGGAGGAGGGGGGGGGGGGNGGGGGGGGGGTATCGACGTAGGGTTAGCCTATAATGTGGTTACACTGTACGCCTCCAGTCTAGAGCCATCGACGGCTCTAATTACGTACAGTCCTACGTACGTGTACGTGTACGGACTAGCCCAAATTAGGCTCTCGCCTATATAGCTAATCCTCTATACACACTTCCCTTCTCCTCCCTCGTACAATAATATATATCCTACCTTACCCCTAACGGTGCCCTCTCACCCCGTAATAATTTATTGTACTAAACTATTATACTACGTACGCTTACTAGTAGAAGAAGATTAATCGCAATTGTATTAATTAATTAATTAAAACTTAAGCCCGCGCGATTAAGACCTTCATTGCAATTCTAGACCTCGAATTAAGTAATTACTAAACCGAATTTAATAATTAAATAGTTCGCTCTCTCTTTTTCTCCCTCCTTTATACTTACCGGCGTATTAATTTAATAATTAATATTTAATCCCCTAATAACCGACAACTTTTTAGTAATTATAACGATTAGTATTCTTATAGCGGCCGACCTAATTAATTATAATTACTATTTAAATATCTTATAAGCGTTTAAGACCCTTAATAACTAAACGGTTATTGTTCGTAATATCTTAATTAATGACGTTTTTAGGTTTACTATTTTCTTAATTTTTCGTACCATATTTATAACCTTCAACCGACTTATTTACAAGGACGTTATTAGCGCAAAAATAGGAATACGCGAAGTAGAGGAATTATTCAATATTATTAAATCCTAAATAATATTTACCTAATAAAAAATTAAATAATTTAATAGTAATATTATTATAATCTAAACTAAAGCTCTCTTCTAAGTATAGGAGGCTACTAAGAATTATAAAACTATAGTTAAAGCTATCTATAATACCTATACCGCCGAAGTCGGTTCCCTACGAGCGGATATCGCCGCCTTAAGAATAGAATTTTCTATTTTAAAAGCTAATTCTAAAGTTACTTATTAAAAATAGAAGGAGAAATATTAAAAAACGATTAATGATTTACGCTAACGCTTTATCGCCGTTCGAGCTTTTAATATTACCCTCCCGGACAATAATTCTAGTAACGATAAACCCGATACTATAACTACTACGGACGACGGTAGCGGCTATAGGTTAGTATTATATATTACTATATTGCCTATATTTAATAGTAAAGATACTATTATCGAACGTTCTATTAAGTTTCGTATTTAGCGCTTCCGTATTTAGTTCGTTTAGTCGGACGACCCTTAACTCTTTAATATTAAGCGTAAGAAATTCTTATTTATTGCCTACTCTATTAAAGGTACTCCCTTCGAAACTATTAAATTCGAATTTACTAAGATTTTAGCCGAACTCCTAATTAAATAGTTTATAGCTGAGGCCCTCCTAATGAAATTTACTACGAAGTAAAATAATATTAATATTATTATTTATTTTTACTATGAATTTAAGGAGTTGAAAATAATTAAAAGTATAAAGTAGTAAAAATTCGAAGATAATTTTACCTGCTTAATTAATCGCTATAATTTTAATAATAATATAAAGATCTACTATTTGCGCTAAAAGATCTCGGACTATATCCGCGCTACTATTATTTACTAAAACCCTTAACCTACTAATAATAAGTATAATGAATAATTAACTCTCGTCCGCAATTTTGTAAAAAATTTAAAGGATAAGGATTAGTATAATAAAAGTTCTAACCCTTATTATAAAACCGGCTTTAATACTACCGCCGCCGGTACTTTTAACGCTTCTATAGCTATTAGAAAGGTTACTATTAATTAAAGCGGCTCTATTATAAATTTTAATATATTATTTACTTCCGACGTCCAAATTTTGTATATAATTAATAATGAAATTTTTAAATACCGTATAAAAAATAGTATATATACCCGCTATAGTAAGAAGGGTTATTATTCGGTAAAATACTATTCTCGTATTAATTTTAAGAAGGAAGTTAAGCCCTATAGGGATAAAGATAGAAACTGGAATAAGAATAAGAATATTAGCGGTAATAATAGTAATAATAATATTAATAGCAACGGCGGTTAGTAGTAGTAACTGACCTACAATTAATATAATTATAGCTAATAGCGCCCTAACTACGGCGGTAGTTATTAAATTAATACTATAGGTACTAATTACCCTATAGGCTTCCTGGCGATTGCTTTAACTCCTAGTACCCCCGGCCCCGGCGGTTACTATTACCCGGTCCCTACTTACTAGCCCGGCTTTATTAGCCCCTTTATAGGTAATAAGGCCGGTTCGGTTTAGGGATAGGGAAATATATAGCCTCCAAACTAAATTACGTTTAGAAGTACCCGTCCGTAGGATAAGGAGGAGGACCGTAGGGGTTCGTCCCTATATAGCTAAATATTATTAAAATAAATAAATTTTTAATAAATAGCTATTATAAATACTCTAATTTATTAAATCTCTCTATTTACCTATCTTATAGACTGTGTAAATTATATTATTCTACCCTTATTAATAGCGGTTATATTATATTTAGCTTTATTAACCGGTACTTTATCTTTTAATACTGGCTACCCTTTTTTAAACTATTAACCCTTAAATTATTATATTTTACTAACGGCTAAATAAAGGGTAATATTACCTATTTTTTTAAAATAATAATATAAGCGGGCATTTACTATAAAGTTATCGATTTATTTATTTATAATTTCGCTGAAGATAACCCTATTATTCTCGGCTATTCTTAGTTAGTATATTATACCCCGGGCATTAATTAGCCTAGTAATTCTCTCTATTTCGGGTCCGCCTATAAGTAACGTAGCTATTTTCCTTATAGAGTTATTAACCTTTATACTCTTTTAATATTTTGCTACTTTTCCCCTCCTTTCCTTAATGTATCCGGAATTTATCCTCTATATAAATAACCTTCGGTTAAAGAAATACCCGATAAAGGGGAGCTAAAACTATTACGAACGGAGTCCGCCCGTTACTTATTTATTTCTACGATTGTAAAGCGAACTATCTACTAAAGGTTCAACCGGTTTAAGAACCGAATAATTAATAAATTAAGTACTACCCCGCTTAGTAAAACTCTAATTAGCCCCGGTTAAATGCTTATATTAATAAGCCTCCCGCCTACTACTTTAACCTACCGGCTTATACTATATTAAATTATTAGAGGAATTTATATTAGAGTTATAAATTATTAGCCCCCAACCCGTTTCTATAGTATCTTTAGTAGTCCTATTAATCCTAACGATATCCGGGAACTTTCTACTATAAGTTTTAATTAGCTAGCCGAAATATTAAAATTTTAGGTTATTTATACTACCTAGGCCGAAATAAAGGAGGATATTAGAAGGATAATAAAGGAAGACGGGTAAAGCGTTCTAAATCTTAAGAGCGTAAGTAATAGTTTAATAAAGGAAATAATTAAGGAAGTTTCAATAGGCTATAATTAAAAGTATAGAAAATTATTCGGTAGTAATTATTATTAATAAATCGATATTTTAGCCAGGAAGGGAGATATAACCGCCTTACGTACAATAAAGGTCGCTACCTCCATTTAAATTAATAGTACTAATAACGACTTCTTATAGTACGAAGAAACTATTAATAAATACTTCGCTGCTAATAGCGTTAATATTAGTAAAATTACGTCTGAAGATATTATTAAGTTCTATAAGAAAGCGGATAAACTTTTAAAGACCAACGCTGAAATCTAAACTAAATTCCTTAAGTAGTACTAGTATTATATTAGTACTTTTAAATAGGAGGGCGCGGAAATCCTTCCCCCTAATTATTTTTATAATTTTAAATTCGAATTCCGCCCGGGAGCCTCGCCGCTAGTTACTCGGGGCTACGCCTTTAACCTAGATAAATTTAATATTATTAAAAAATAGATTAATAATAACTTTAAGAAGAAGTTTATTAGACCTTCTTAATTTAAAGCGTTAATATTAGTTTTATTCGTTAAAAAGCTAGGAGGTAGAATTTGTATCTATATTAACTATAGAAGTATTAATAATATAACTTTTAAGTTCCGCTATCCGCTATTACTTATTAAAGAAACCTTAAATATAATTTATTATACTAAAATCTTTATTAAATTTAATATTATTATAGCCATTAATAGGATCCGTATTAAATAGGGTTACGAATAGTTAACCGCTTTTATAATATGGTTTAGTTTATTTAAGTCGCTAGTCGTTCTTTTTAATTTATAAGGCGCCCCCGGGGCTTTCTAGAATTATATTAATAATATTTTTTATGATATTCTTAATATTTATACAACTATATACTTCGACGACGTTCTAATTTACTTATATAATATAAAGGACTATAAATAGTATATTAATAACGTCTTCGATTAATTAATTAGAGCGGGCCTTAGTATTAATATTAATAAATACGAATTCTATATTACGCGTACTAAATACTTAGGCTTTATTATTACCCTAGGAAGTATTAAAATAGACCCTAAAAAGGTTAAAGCAATTACCGAATAGCTAGCTCTAAAATTAAAGAAGTCCCTTCAATCCTTCCTTAGCTTCGCGAATTTCTATTAGCGATTTATGAAAAATTTCTTAATTATAGCAACCCTACTCTATAAACTTATAAAAAAAGACGTAGTTTAAATATAGAATACTACTTATTAGAAAGTATTTAAATTCCTTAAATAAGCCTTTACTAAGGGCCCTATTCTAAAGATCTATAATTAGATTAAGAAGACTATTATTAAAATAAATATTTCTAATTAGGCTGCTGGCGGTACCCTTTTATAATAAAGTAACAATAGTATTCTCTACCTTATAATTTACCTCTCGGCTAAATATACTTCGTAGGAATATAATTATAATATTTATAATAAGGAGTTACTTATTATTATTAAGGCTCTAGTGGAGTAGAAGCCTAAATTTAAAGAAGCCTAGTAGCTATTCGATATTTTAACTGATTATAAGAATTTATAGACCTTTATAATTAATAAGTAGCTTACTTAGACGTATATACGCTAGTACTAATTTTTATTCCACTTTAATTTCCTAATAAAATATACCCTAGGCTCTAAGAATTTACGCTCCGATACCTTAAGCCGTAAAGTTAGCGACCGCCCCAATAGCGAAGAAAACGGTCGTTTCGTTGCTTATAAGAGACTTTTATTCAATCCTTCCTAATTTAAAAATAATTATTTCGAAAACTCCGCTACTAACTTTTTATTATACTTACTCGGCCCCGAGGACTTCGATACTAAATCTACTAACGATTTTATCTATGCAAATTATAAGACCTTAATTTTCCTCTAAGAATTAATATCCTATTTAATAAACGCGTCGCGGCGGTAATAGCCATTAACTATTAAGAAGGTATTCTATAGAGCCTTTTTTAAATATTATATTATTAATAATATAGCGAAGTAAAAAGATAGAATTATTATCGACCCTTATAATAAGGGCCTCTAATTCTAATTAATTAGTTGCTAATACAATATTCCTAGCGCGGACTACCCTAACTGTAACGCTTCGTACGAACTTCTACAATATAATTTCTATTAGGAAGGAATATATAACGATATAAGACTTTTTTATAAGGGCTATCTCCTATACGCGAAGACTAAATTACTAAAGTGTAACTCTACTAGTTACTTTAAGTTTATAACCGTTTTTCTAATACCTTAGAAGGATATTTCGGTCGATTATATTACCCTACTACTAGAGAGTACCTACTTCGGCTAAACTTTTAAATATATTACTATTGTTATCGACCGCCTTATAAAGATACGTTACTATATTGCGACTATAACCTTCGAAGCCGAAGAATTAGCTGACTATTTTATTAACTATATTTATTTAATTTATAGTTTACTAGATAATATCCTATTTAATAGGGGTATTTAATTCGTATTACGTTTCTAGTCTACCCTCTATAGTAAATTATTTATTATTTATAAATTAACCTCCGCTTTTTACTTATAAACTAACGCCTAAACCGAGTATATTAATACAGAAATAAAGTAATATTTAAAGCTCTATATTAATTAAGCGTAAACGAATTAGGCGAAGTAATTACTATTTGCAGAATTCGCTAATAATAATATTATTTCCTTACTAATAGGAATTTTATTGTTCTTTACTAACTATAGTTATTACCCTCGTATAAGTATAGAACCCCGTACCCTATTACTACTAAATTTTTCGCTAGTTTAATTTAAGGAATACTATAAAGTTAACGAACTAATAGACTATTTTTAAAAGATATAGGACTTCGCTATTTAATAAACCCGCCGTATATAAGAATAATATAAAAATAATACTAATAGGAAATATATCGACTTCCCTAAATATTGTATTAACGATATAGTCCTTTTAAATATTATAAATTTCGCTAATAGTTGGCCGTATACGAAGTTCTCCCCCTGCTAGGAAGGCCCTTTTAGAATTGTCCGCGCTAATTCGTATATAATTCACCTCTTATTACTCCATAATATAAAGTACTTACTAATTTTCTATATTTTAATAATATAACCTTAGTTAGGTATAGGACTTCCCGGGTAGAATACTATAATAAATATAAAAGTAAATAAGGGACGGGTAATAATACGAATAAATAATTAAAAAGAGTACGAAAAATAGACATTTAAAAAGTTTATCGACTATACTTAATTGGGCAGTAATATATATTAGTACTACTACGTTAAGTAAAAGACTAGGGATCCTACTTAAGAACCGGTTATTAATATTATTAACTATAAATACTACCTTTAGTAGTTCTATTACGGAAACCCAAATAAATTAATATTATTAGGAGTCCAAAAGATCCTCGAGCGTCTTACTACTAACCCCCCAACCGCCCCTAATTCCCTAAAGCCCCCGGCCGCTCCTAAGCCTACTCTTATTCCTACGCCGGAACCCCTACGCCGCCGCTCTATATAATTCTAGCGAAAAATAGCCTTTGTAACTAACGCGAGGCTACTCCTAAATATAGTAATAATAGAGCCGGTTGATATAACGGTTAGTAATAATATAAAGGATAAATTATATTTAGTATTTAGTAAAGTTATACGATAGTTAATAGATATATAATTTAAGAGGTTACTTTTAACGTAGTTAGTAGATTATAATTGTTTTTGAGGTAAAGGCTATTATTATACGTATATATAGACTTTTTAACTCTGCGAACTTCTTTTGAGGGGGGATAGTATTATAGGGTTAGCCTATAATATAATTGCACTGTACGCCTCCAGTCTAGAGCTATCGACGGCTCTAGTTACGTATAGTCCTACGTGCGTGCACGTGTACGGACTAGCCTAGACTAGGCTCTCACCTATATAGCTAGTTCTCTACGCACACTTCCCTTCTCCTCCCTCGTATAACAACGTATATCATACCTTACCCCCAACGGTGCCCTCTCGCCCCGTGATAGGGGGGGGAGATTGTAAATTATTAGATTTTTGGGATTATTTGCTATAATATTAGAAAATTATTAGATTATACTATAAATTAGTAAAATTAAGTATAGATAGGATTATTTACTATATTACTAAAAACATTAGATTATTTTAGTAATTAGTAAAATTAATTATATATATAATAATTTAATTAATTATTTAGTTACCCTCCTACTTCTTATTTCTACCGGTTAATATACCCCTCCTTTATTTTTTTATTTAATTTTAACTACGTATTAGTAAAGAGAGGGTAATTTACAAAATAATTAATATAATTTATTATTTCTTCTTCCTCTAATTTATTAAACTTATAGTAGAGATTTTTAACTACAAAGGTAACGTTATTAAATTTAGCTACTTTAAGAGATTGTAGCAACACTACTACTTTTTCTATTGACGAATTAAGAAATTCGATTGCGTTTTTTCCCTTCCTTTTACTACCGCTAATAATATAAGAGTTTATATCGATAAAAGGAGTTTCGCTATTTAGTAGCGGGGTTAAAATAAGATTTATATCCCTCCTATACCACTACACCTTAGTAAATCTCTTTATAAGTAGGGTAACTTCTTCGATTTTATTATCGTTTCTATTATTATCGTTGGACGAAACCGCGTTATCCCTACTATTATTATTATTATTATTAAAACTAACGCTATTATTAAGTAGTTTATTTACTTACGAATCTCCCGGCTCGGCAATATTATTCCCGGAAGCTTTAGTACGAAAGAATACTTTAGAATATATATTTATATTACTAAGCAGTTACTTTATTAATTAGTCGACTATATAACTTTTAATATTCTTCCGCTTACAAAATGCCTCCTAGTTTTATATAGATATTTTAGGTAGTTTAATATTAGGATTTAACGAAGCGCTAAATATAAAAAAGTTTCCTTTCAATTACGATACTACTATTATTTAGTATTGAATTTGGTTTTAATATACTTTATAGTCTAAATATATTCGTTTTAAACTTCATTATATTTATTTCTTACCTCTTCCTATACTTTAGTAAAGTCCTTTTATTAAATAGAATTAAATATTTTCCCCCTCTTACAATTAAGGAACTATATTATTATAGTAGCGGTTATAGAGGTAATTTAATTAATACGCTTTTTTTTAAAAGGTAGTTTAAATTAGTACTTCCTTTTTTAAAGATATAGTAGGGGTAGTATACTATCTTATACTATACTCTAAGGCGGTTAAATACTATTTAGGGACGTTGTTATAATATTGTAATAGATTTTAAACGGTTAACTCTCGTCTAATTAATTATTATTAATTTAATTATAATCTATTAGGTAGAGAAGTTAGCTCTCGTTGAGGGTAAGGAAATTGGGTAGATTATTATTATTAGTAGGCAGTTTAAGAATATTATGAAGAAGTTATAAGAGCGGGTTATTAAGATTATTATTTTACTCTCTGCTTTTAACATTTAATAAACTTAATAATAGTAAAATATTCGAACTACTTTGAGGGATGAAATATAGGTCTTAGGCGTTTATTTTTTCAGATTGGGACGTATTTTGGTTGGTGTTTTACATATAAGTCGGAATATAGCTAGGTTCTAGACTTCAGTAGGGTTTAACCTTATTTTTTAGGCGATATTTATAGGGCAGTAAGAAAGGTCTTAGCCAACTACGCTATAAACAGTTAAGTCTAGCTATTACTATACTAATATAGCGCTAAAGTAGTATAGTCGTATTAATCTACCTATTTTACTTGGTTGTAGATGAGAGGGAGTAACGAAATATTCAAACTTTTACTATAAAAAGTTTGAGCCGATCTAGGCCTAACTCACCCAAGGTGGATGATGTTTCTGTTTCTCCTCTCCCACTCGCTTGACATTTCATTTTCCCCCTCGTTGCTGTCCACACTTTGTTTGTAAGGCGGTGGTCGGTGCAGTGGTGCTAAAGGCCAAGAAAGTGCTCAGGTGCTTACGTAGTTCTCGTAGGTAATTCATGACGTAGATAGCAGGCGCCGTGCCCGCAACCCAGGAACGCCTCTCTTCTTGGCTGGCCGGCTACGGGTTTGCGGTACTTAACAATAGACGCTGTTCTGTTCTATTCCTGAAAATGAATCTCGTCGACGTCGAGTCGTCCGTCCTTGGTAGGTTGCGTGCCCCCCCTCCCCTCCTCTGAGAGCAAAGAGGGGTGTGGCTGCTGTCTTTGCTGGGCGTTGGCTGGTTGGTCGCTAACAACACTTTAACTTCCGGCTTCTTCATGCGTCCTCGTCATATAATTTCCCTTTTCAGTGCCTCCCTCCGGACCTGGTCCATGTCGATATCCACGCACTTGGTACCCTCCGTGTAGATCATGCGACGGAAATGAGATCGGGGGATGGGGTAAGAGAGGGATGATCGTTCCTTTCTCGACATTTTTGTGATCTCTTGATCAGTCAGCAACAGCCATCGTGATGTTCACTCCCCCTCTTTTGCTGTTTTGCGGTTTAGCCCATGAAACCGTTTTTCCCCTTGCCGTCAAGGGTTAGGGCAAATGCCCGCATTGTGTTTTCTGTTGTCTTACAGAGGGACGATGATTTGCAATATGCTTCAAGCGACCGGCCGGCCTTGTCAATTTAGGTCGTTCAGTCACAGTGACGGTAGGTAGTTGTTGCACGCTTTAGAGAAATTGTTAAAGTTGCAACAAAAATTGCTGGGCGCACAACTGAAAGATTGCAGTGATTGATGCCATGTGAAACGACGCACATTGTGGTAGGAGTGTGTAGCGAACAACGTACAAAAACTGACGTCGGTTCATATTTCTGGTCCAACAGCTACAAGACGACAAAGGATGCATTGTTGCACAAAACTCACTCGACTATAAACCACCAGTCGTGTGGCTCTTCGTTCGGGCTGAAGAAGGAAGCCTGTAATTCCCACCAAACCACATTATTCAAGTCATTCCACCAAGCACATCTGTCAAAGTCATGTCAGAGAATGGACAGATCAAAACCCAGTGCTTCAATTTTTGACGATTTCTCGCTCGTATCAAGTTTTGTCGAACATTGTGCATTGATAATTTTGAAGTCCGCCCTATCCATCCTCATGCAAACGTTGATTCCCGGCTTTGCTCTTCAACTTCTTCTGTTGAAGGACAGCGCGTAATGCTAAATATACAATCGCCCATAGAAGGGCATCCCGCTCCATAGACATTATGTGAACGTGTGGGGATATGAAAGAATTGAAAAAATAAAAAAGAGAAAACAAAAAACAGCCGCCAATTCATGCCAAGTGCGAGCCATTTCTTTGGTTCTCGCATGTCATCTCCGCGTGAACGCCCGTGTAAATGCTGAAGCAAGCCAAACCCGTTTCGCGCCGTGGAAGCTTTTTTGTGAGTAGCCAACCCTAAAGGTCATCCCTGAAACCCCTTTAGACCCTGTAGACCCTAGACCGTGACCTGCCGTTCCGAAAAGAGACCCCGATCTTTTGAGACTGTAAAACGCATACAGGTCGTTGTGTGTACCTGTTGTTGAACGATATGAAATCTCTGCCGGCCCCAAGCAGTGATGCGCTATTTGTATGCGGTGATTTGTCGCCCTTTTCCCCCGTAAACACATGCCAGGCTTTGTAGGAATGATCCCTGCATATGAAACCCGATTTCCCATGGAGATGGTGATAACACTTCTCTCAAAACCTTTCATGCCAATCCGGACCGTCTAGGCTGGTTGTATAACGTATGAGGTGTGAATAGAAAAGAAACGAAGATTGGCCGCCTAGGCAGATGCGCCGTTGTTGCTGTTGCCACTGCTTCTGCCGTTGCTGCTCTCAAAACTGTGGCAGCCACGCTCATGACGCTTCATGTTACTGCGAACGCTGAAGGCCTTTCCGCAGCCTGCATGGGGGCACTTGAAAGGCTTCTCACCAGTGTGAGAGTGGCTGTGGATTCGCAATGAGCTCGGTCGAGAGAAGGCCTTGTTGCAAGTCTGGCAGATGTACCGGTCTTGAGACTGCGGAAAAGATGCAGTGGAAGAAGGAGCAATATAGTGGTGATGTTGCCAAGGGTTGGCTCCCGTGACTGGTGCGAGAGTGACTGGAACTGGCACAGCAGGGGTGAAAGTCTAAAGCAAATGTTAGATAACTTTCATCTGTTGGATCTGGCTGATTGTTCTCACCTGAGGGAGTGGTCGCTGATAATACAAGCCCGACATCTGCTGCTGCGGAGGGGGTGTCGGCTGCATGGGAGGGTAATAAGGGTTCATGCCTGACTGACTCGAGTAGCCGGCTGACGACGGGTACTGTGTTTGGAAGGTTGATGACTGAACAGGGGCTCTGGGTGCAGCAGTGGCCATCTGCCGGGAGTCGGCTTCATGCTGGCTCAAAGGCGGCGTGGTCTCATAGTAGTAGTTGGAGCTGCCCTGAGACTGGCTTGCTGGCTTGCTTGAAGGAGAGCGGTATCCTTCAAAAGAAGCTTCCGAAGACATGGGAGGACTAGGGGGGAGGTTCGCCCTGATCGATGCTGGGTTGCCAAACTGGGAAGAGTTGGGACGGTTGTCAGGCTTTGAGAAGTGCACTGAAGAACGGTTAGTCTCGTGCAGTTCCCTCATATCAAGATAGGTTGACCGGTCATACATTGCTGAGACTGAGGAGATGTCTCTGAGGTAGGAGATCCCTGATCGGCCATGACAAGCAGGTTCGAAATCGAGGGCAGGGAGCACTTGTTGGAGTCGTCCAAAGGAGGGGAGGGTGGCGGAGCGAAGCCATAAGGCTGGGCAGGATATTGAGGCGTTAACGTCGTGGGTGCCATTTTGATGTCGGTATGTGAGGTTGAAGTGTAGTGGACCGGTCTGTGTTGACGATATTACTACTGCCTTTGATCGAGACGAAATGGTGCGTGATAAAAAGTATCGCTTGGTGAAGTCGGATACGTGTAGTTGATTTTGGTGGTTCAAAGCAGTAACAGTGATGATGTCGTTTCTTTGTCTTTCAGACCCAAGCTTTGAAGCGGGCAGGGAGGTGAGAGGAGGGGGGCTAGCTTATGTATGCCGAAATCCAAAAGAAGCTTGTTGACGGTGGATGGGGTGGACAAGGTTGTTCTGTACATGGTACCATTTAGATCTCCCGAGGGCATGGAGACAAGAGTGGATGATACGGTGCCCCCTACAGGTTGATCCCCGGAGGACCAAGGCCATCAGTGGGTCAATTCACTTGTTGTCACAAATTATGGTGTGGGTCTACCGGGCGGTGGGCTTGGGGCCTTCCAGCGACAGAACCTTGGGTGGTGCTGTGCAGCAGCAAGGCCAGGGACCAGGGCTCTCAGGGCTACAGGTGAGTGTTGATCAGATGGATAGAAGGAGTGGGTGAAGTGTACCGTAAAATACAGAGTACCTGGTAAGTAAGGGAGCCTGCAGTGTCCAGCAAAGGTACTGGCATATATTAGCTCCTGCTATATGCGACCTCTGACATCGGCTGCATCGGGGTTGCCCTTGTTGATACCATGTGCTCCCTAACCCGTCGTCTGTAAACACGGATAACTTGCCGTCCGTATACAGAGCTGCGATCTTCTCGAAGGACAAAAGGCGAATAGGCTCGCCAAGGTTGATCGATCTCCAGAGACACAAAACGGTCGAGACCCGATGTCAGTGAAGGACCCCCGAGTTGGCCGAGTCAGTTCCTTCTCAAACCTGATTTCACAGCCGGGATCCCCACGTTTCTTGTGTAATTAAGAAGTCGGCAGGAAAGGATCATCATGATACACCCACCTCTCCCAAACTAGAGGGGTTTTCAAGTACGCAAGGCGGAGGAGTCCTGGATTCTTAGAGATACGCCTGCGGTAGCAAAACAGGCTCGCAAATTCGACGGAGGTCTGTCTGGTCACCACACCCGTGATGTGTTGGAACAGAAAGGATCGTCCTTCTACAGTGGGGATCCCTTGTACCAGCCAAGCCAGTGTAGCTTGCCGTTTTGATGGGCTTGCATACGCCGTGAGGCGCTTGACTGAAAAAGGATACATGCCCGTTCTTAAGAACTGGTCTGTGTCCACCATCAGCCCCTGGCTGTCACGAACGCGCTCTGGGCGTCTGGGAACCAGAGGACCCCTGAAGCTTTGGGCAAGACTTGAGACGAGGAGCAGCACCGACATTTTATAAGTCCGATCATCTGCATGGATATGCGGATTTGGGCGAGCCGCCACAGCTTTCAAGAGTGCAGTCTCCGGGAACGTGCTTGGCTTCTGCTGTGACCGGATTGTCGACATATTTTTATGCCGTACCCATCTTCCCACCCTGTCAAACGGCCTTTCAAAACAAATACCACTTTTTTAAGGTTAAGATGGCTCGTGTCCCTGTTCAGATCAGAATATCTGGTTAAATCGGGGGTCTGGAATGGAACTTTGTACCTTATAGCAGCACCTCGGGTATGGGCTATCGCACAGACTACCTGATCTTCCTCATCCACGACGTAGAAACAGATGCCCTGCTTCACTTCCTGACAGTTGGTGTACGTAGACCTGTACACTAGCGTACGTCGTTCACACTGATGCCGCTCTGCAGGCCGTACTCGATCAACAATTGACAGGACCGAAAAGTGACCTATCTCTTGAGGTGCAGGCGACGCCATGTAGTCCTGGCGAGCATCCTCAATAATCGAGAAGAAATTGCTGCACGTGAGGGCCATGCGAATCTTGGAATAGAAGCGCCGATCCTCTGTTTAACTGGAGCAAGGTGCATACGTTACGCGGGTGGTAGAAAGGTTACGTACATCTACCCAGTACGGCGACGATCCAAAAACCGGAACAGTCTCAGCAGCGAAGGAATCGGTGACATCCTCAGATCTCTGCGGAGCAAGGGTTGCTCACAATGATCCCACTGAAGGGTCCCCTTTCGGTCATTACCGTGACTGCCGTGGCCAATGGCACGGTTACGGTCGCTTGCGAAGTTGCGTAGCCCAGGAATCAGAATCACAGCATGGAGTGCTACACGAAGTGCCCCAACATCAGTACGCAATCACCCATTTACATAGCACAAGAACTATATACATACCGATGCGGTATTTTACCAACCGATAGTTTGAGAACGTTCTGACCGGTTGCCGGTAGCTTCGTGACAGTGGTTCTCGTATCCTCCAGAGTATATATACAGCCCTGTGTTCTGGGTCGAGCCGTCACATCTGTCAAGGTCATATCCTGTGGAGAGAAGCGAAGCTATATTGATATCATCCTCAGACGGTTTCTGGAGAAATAGTCTCGGGGGGGTTCCAGAAACGAAGCTAATCTCCAGCGATCGTCGGTTGTGTAATCCGGAGGGCAGGGTTGCTTCGGGAAACAATATGATACTGTGTACATCGTTCGGGTACATCGGTGGACGCTATACATGGGAGTCGGTCAGACAGGGGGCTTTGTCTGGGGCACGAGATTGGTACTTACGTGGTAAATGGGTACATGGGGGGTTGGGGTTTAGGGGTCCGTGATCGACGGTAGAAGCGAGTCGTGATGACTGGAGAATGCGACGGAAAGCGGACAGCTTGTCTGGTCCTGTGTTTGGTATTGAGCAGGGGGTGTTTCCAGCGGCAGTGGGAAAGGCCTGGGTGCAGAAATGACTGCTCTCCCTCTGCTTCCGTCAGGCATTTGCGTCAAGACAACGGCGGGTCATCAATTGCTGTGGCACACCCGAGGCACCTAGACCACGGTCTGGTGTAGGGCGGTTTTGTTGCAAGACGATTGATGGCGGGCTAGCGTTCCGAAGAAGGGCAGTCTGTCACCGACCTCGATTTGGGCCGGTTCCCCGCGCCTGTGCCACTGCCATGCGACTCCCGCGGGAATGACAGACGTGGATGTAGACTAAGTACCTTGCCTTTACATTCTAACAGCCTCTACAGCCCGGGCATGCCAACGGGCAGAGGGGTCTGACGGGATGGTTGGCGGCCCGGTGACAACTTTTGTGTAGCCATGGCGGACTCGGAGGCCACTTTGGGTTGTCGCGGGTCGCTTGTTACACTGGAGAAGTAGAGGAAGGACCTGGCAGCTGCAGCCTTACGAAGGTAGGCCGGCATGAGGTCATCCGGATGGCCAGACGGCTTAGTATCCAACCCATCGTCTCGGGCATCTTGATCTGAATCTCCATCTGTCTTGCAATGTCCAAACACTACGCGGTGTCGTAAGCGTGCAGCGCCACACGACACACTGGACCACAAGCTCGGGATGCCCAGTCTGAAGCGACCTGAAGGTGGTCGATGTAAGAGGATCAGACATGGCGATCATAGACAGCGCGAATGACGGGAAGCGAGCGAGGTGACGACAACGACAAGGCCAACAGGAAACAGAAGAAGAAGCTGAAGGAAAATATGATGGAAGTGCCCGCCCGCGTTGAAGCCTGCTGTGACAAGCTCGGTCCCCAGTTTACCAAATGTTCTGTCAAATGGAAGCCAACCATCCACGCCCATTTTCCTCGCTCCTTCCCTTTTTGGTGACGGAAGGCTTGTCAGCGCTTGGGCCACCTCACCTCCCAAGTTCCATCGCCTGCATCCCACCTTGCTGACAATTGTATGTAATTGTGGCCTGACTTTTTCTCCAATGGGGCAAAGCACCGCCTGGAAACCGCTCGCGGAGCCAGCTACCGCACGCAGCGACGACGACGCGACAGTGCGAGATCGCCAAATACCTCCCGCCGACACTTTGGGAGTTCCGTCACACTACAGTAGGTCTTTGGCTTCCTCACCGATCATCGATGCCGCGCGCCGGTGCCCGCAAGGCCGTCTGGATCTTTGCCTTGTACCTGGCCCGTCCAGATCACTGGACTCTTGGGAGATGCACAATGGAATCATTCCTGTATCCGCCTACGGAGCCCAAGAGGGAGCTAAATCACCTAGGGCCGTGACCAGCCGAGTCAGCTAAGAGACCCTTCGCACCGATTCGGTACGAGAGCTCCTCGTCCAAGCGTTCTGCAGGCGGCCGGAGGATTTTCAGGACCCAGGCACTGACATGCCGGCCTCAGCAGTGGAGCTGCTCCCATACACCGGCCCGGCCGTGATTTGCATCATGGGCCGAGGAACCGGACTCCAAGCACGACCAGGCACACCCAGGGTCCTATCAGACCTGAGCTCGACCGATCCCATAACCGGACCTTTCATGATCTCAGTGAGACATTGGCGATATAAACATTTCGAGTGTTTTACCAGGCGACATGATTTGGAACGCTTCATGTGAACGATAGGACACTACCAACTCTGACCGGAAACAATACGAAGGGAGTGGGTGACTCTCGTCGGACCCAAGAGAGATTGCATATAAGAAGGGAGGTAAGCACCAACCGACATTGATACAAGTCCGCTTGACAGCCGTGAGGCAAGGCTGGGGAATTGGAATCTGGAAGTAGAAGATATTGCCTCGTTTTTCCTTCCTCCATCCCATGTCGCGTTTCGCAGACAGGCTCGGCTGGCGATGAGCAGATACGACGTGAAACATTTACAGGCTGCCCGCGGTATCTCGGGATTGAAGGAATTTTCTGTATCTTTCATCTTCGTTTTTTGGTTCAAGAAGTCGCGTGCGTGCTTCTTCTCGCCACAGCCGGTCAAACGGATCACTGTAGTCCAAGATTTGGCGGTACAGCCTCTTGATGGCCAGGAGCGGTGATACTTCGGTCACTCTTTTTATTGACACTCCTATAGCATAGGCATTATGAGTCGAGACGGTGCCCTGCAAGATTTCAGGTACTTTACTTACCTTGCATATGTAGTGTGTCGCTAGCTGTTCGGGCAAAGGTGAGTAACTGTCCTTCATTCCTTGAACAGACAAAGTATCCTGTCGCTAACCTCTGTCACCAGCTCGACCAGCTAGTACCTCCCTTGGGGTGCGCACAATGACATCCAAACACACAGTCATTGATCAACCCTAGTGTACCAACGTCACTCCTGTTCAGCATGATGACGATACTTGGCCTTTGTGTCCTTTCATTGATCGACACGCCCTGCAACCCCTGCTCCTAATACTGGCGTCCCAGTGGACGGATGCGATCCGGCCTGCGGCGATCGCGTGGCGCTGGCGTTAGCGCATGCTCGCTTAGGCCAACGAGAGGAGAGGGTGGCTTCGAGAACCACAGACGTTGGAGAGACCGGCGTGATCGGCGAGCGTTTTGGACGTTTTGAACCAAAGTTGCCTCGGGAAATATGCCACGCCCATTGCACGTTTCTCGCGCATCCCGTCAGGCAAGTCGTTTTCCTCAACCAGCTTCCTCTTTCGGAATCTTGTACATGACAACATTATGGATCTCACCATGGCAGCAACAAGCTGATTGCATCACCACCGACTGAGATCTGACTCTCCGGGCACCATATTGCACAGCAAAGGCTACTACGTCCCTGGGAACTATATAGCTCCCTCTAATGTTGGTCTGCCGGTAAATACATAGCAGTGTTTTGTGGTTGTGCAATACATCTGAGCGCCAGCCAGCCTCGAACACATCAAGCGACATCGACATCACTTTTTTGGGGCGTCGCTAAAAATAACCACAGGGAGCTAGCTATTCGACAGAGTTTCCCATACCCCGCCCTACTCATCGCCCTTGGGGAACCGGAAAAATGCAATTATTCAGATGAGCAGTATACGTACCAGACCGGCTTGAGAGGGCGAGAATCGTATAGGTCGATTTTATACGTACCGGCTTGAAAAGGTAGAGGGAGTCTACCGTCTGCCAAGGTCAGTTCCGTGGCATATATTGTTGAGCACATCGTACTCAGCTTCACCAACACACCGGTTAGCGATCCGTCGATCATCGCCAGTGGGATCTACCCGACACAGCAAACGAAGCTTCATGCTCCTTGCCCTGGAGATTATGTTACTCTTCATGTATCACGCATGTCCGGAGTAACACGTCGATCATGAGTCAAAAGAACATCTGCGCGGGCATGCAACGCTGCCATGCTCGTATACAAATGAAATCATTGCCGGGGCTTTGTCCAAAACCGGTGATATCTCCATTGTTACCATAATTGAGAGTGGACGGATCCATAAACAGCTGAGTCGGCCGAGTTGCCACTTCTTCATTCACCTTTCTCCAAAATCGTCCCCTTATCAGAATCTCGGCGGATCCCAGTACCAATACCACCGTTGTATCAAGTTTTGCTTCTGTCCAAGCAGATAGAGTGTGTGTCACTATTTTCTGTTGACGTCTCACATGATCACCTACCAACACTTGTGATGTTAAACCTCTTCCTAACTAAACGGCGCAAAAGCTAGTTTTGTGGCTTCCAGTTCTAGCTTTATCTGTAGGTTGTCCCACGGTCGCAACGGTGAAGGTATTCTTCCCGTTTTATCACATTCTCGTGGCGGTATGGGTGATCAAGTAAATTGACCTTCATCCGTCATATCTGGCAACCCCGTCTTTCGCACAGAGTCGTGACAACTTCGTGATGATTGCAAAACAAACCTCCATTGAGGTATTACTGTATACCCCGATTGTTGCGCACTTTTCTGCACAAGCGCTGACGAATAAAGCTTTTCCCCAGAAGTCTGCCGACCACATCCACGAACGTTGACTTATCTTCTGTATGATGGGTCGCTCTAGTCTAAGGCCAGTGGATGCACTATCCAGACGCGCCATCTCTACCCCTTGGGATACCACCACCGCTAGCCGACCATGGTAACCATTGAAATATTTGGGAAAACTGCGTTGTACGTGTGCTAAATTTTCTGAACACAACCTTAGCTCTTTCCTGAGGAGTACATGCTTGAGAAAGCAAGTTCCTTTCCTCTTTGCCTCGGCCATCAAAGATCGGGTGGCGTTGTAGTACTACATTCACGTTCACACCCAGGTTGTCTTCTATCCAGGGGTCTGCTCAAGCGAGGTCCATTGAGACTTTATCCAGAACAAGCCCAAGCGATTGTCTTGGCCAATAATCGGGCTTGCATTGCCCCGAAAACCATCTCCCTTTTCACACACATGTAGATGGACGCAGCCTTCCAGGCCTCTCAGAAATGAAGCATCGAAGAGCATCTGGAAAACTTAGGGACACAGCACGGGGTTGATGGGAGAAACATATCTTCGTTTACAAAGCAAATATCCAACCATCCTTGGTCTCGGACGTCACTTAACGTCTCGACACCTAGACGCCATCAATATCCCGAATGATGAGGCAGGTTACGGCTAAGACCTATCCCCGACGTTGATCACCTGCTTCTGTACCGACAACATGCATAAGGTGTCATTGGAAGCATGCAAAGAGACACATCTGATGCCCTACGCCGCAATTCAAGAGCAAACATCGAGATGGGTGAATAGCTTCACTCCCACCACGATGCTGGTTCCCCGCTTGCCAACGGGACGCCGCCGTTGTCTGTCGGAAATATTGACCAGACTAGTCTTGTCAGATGAAATGCAGGTGGGAAGGTGATCATCCCCTCGACGTCCCTCGACACACCCACTTTCCGACCATGTTTGTGGAGTTTGACAACCTTTTTTGTTTTGCAGTACACAATGACCCCTCTCGACACAAACTAAAAGCGAAGCTAAGACGATACCAGGGGTTCTAAATCCAACTACCTATGCCAGGCTGGCATCACCCTGCACGCTAATTTAAGACGTCCTTCCTCTTCCTCATCAAAGCGCCGCCGGCTTCTCGTCCCACACGGGATCAGGAAGTCGGTTATAGCGGCCGCAGGATACCTTTTTGGGCAAGGAACAGGCTGGACTAAGATCAAACTCCTCCAGCGCCAATACGATCTCGTTAAAATATAATCGTGATCTAGGCTCGGCATCGGCATTCATGCTGAATTACCTCGGAACAAGTAGGACTTCACTGGGTATCGTATGTACATTCTTACCCCTATTTGTGATCACCCCGGGAGACACTCCGGGGCAACCACGGACCATGGTACCGCACCCAGGTTTCACCGTACGCAAAAGGCCATCATGACGTCCCTCTTGATCTTGCAGCAATGTTATGATGTATGTTCGGTGCGAGTATGGTCTGTATTTTAAAGCAGCGCTTCGAAAATGGGGCAACGAAGTCTGACTAGTAGAGAGGCTGATATAAGGTACCTAGTGTAGTCTCCTACAGATGATAGGCGTTCTTCAAGATTCGGGTCACCCACATCCCACAAAACCCTGCCAGGGCAATGGAGGAAAGACAAGATAAGAAGCAACCCTGACCTGCTGCGTTCGTTTTGTCATTACACCCCAAACGGCCATTAGCTCAGAGGTGCGGTGTAGGTTCGGAATACGGATGGGCTCCTTTTCGATCGGTCATTGTTACTGTATAGCAAAGGTTGATTATAGTTGGGATGGTAGAAGCCTACCGGTCACAACGATGAGCGTCGATACTTCCTTGTGCACATAACCCATTTTGGGCCTATCGAGTATCGACAGCTTTGTTTTCTTTTTCTTTGTATTTTCCTTTTCTTGGTGCTATCCTCCGGGTACTGCAGTCTGTCTGTCGAGTTTAGCTCTTCGTCAAAACCCCCTAACGATCCACCCCTCCAGCACTAAAATTGTACTCTACCCTAGGCGCCGTTACTAGCGTAACGTCTTTCTGTCTCACTTTACATTTCCCCATCTCTTTCCTTTCTGTTTTTCTCTTTTTCAACCGAGTCTGAACTGGGGCGCTCATTGGGTGAGCCTTGTATTGTCTGCCTCAAGAACTCACATTACACAACTTCATCACAACCCCTCCCCCTCAATTCCACTCTCCCCCACTTTCAGCCGGTGGCTGGCCATTCGTTGATGAGCTGCTATGCAATCGAGACTGTCACCTCAGCATAAGGGTTGTTGTCGGTTCGGTTCGGTTCGGTCGGTTGCCCTACTTGCCCTGTCCTGTCCTCTGAAACCCCCTTGCCCCTGCATCTTCCCTGTCCGCAGAATGTTGAGCCAATCGGTGGTAACCATTTTCCTGTAGGATACTTTTTTGATGTTGCAAAGACCATAGCGTTTACTAGTAATGTAGGCGGAATGTTTAGTTAACAAGCCACGTCACCAAGTCCTCCATGTATATTGCGGGGCTCACTAAAATGTTAGATTTTCACCGTCAAGGGGATTGCTGCTTATTACTGTCTTTTACTCTTCGAGCATTGTGTCTAACTACTGTACGTTAGGTATTCGTATGGACTGGGCTGGATTCGCAAAGCGTTGCTCCGTTACAAGGCTCTTCCCGACCCGAAACAGCCATCGTACCATGTCAAAGATCATAGGCAAATCACTTTCCATGCGTAGCTTGACCGCTACAGTTCGGATGTCACCAAAGACCAGGACCCCAGAGATAGCAATTGTTCAACGGCCCGAGTGACCGGCAAGACCAGATACTTACTGGGTATTTATTTCTGTCCAGCAATACTGACCGGGTCAGGTTAGGGGTGCAGTACTGTACACTACTGTAGTGTATAGGGTTAACACTAAAGTGAGGCAGACATGTTCGCCAGGTCCACCAATACATATGTACTTCGAATGCCGGCTTGGCGGGGAAAGGGGGAGTGGAACACGGAAATCGTACCATCTTCTTTTCTTTTTCACATTCCCTTGGGACATCGAGACTCGACGCCGCCGCCGCCACCGCGGGTGACGCGTAGGCTCTGCCCCTGGGAAGACTACACTACGTACCCAACAGGAATGGGGCGAACCAGACATGGAGCACACTGGGTATATCAAATCTCCACCATCGATCATCACCACCGCGGAATTATGCTCCCTGTTACTGCAGGCGCCGTTACTGCACAACTGAAAACTTGCCCTGGACTTGATCAAGTTTGTCAACCAACTCCATCGCCAACGGCGAAGAGAAAGCTACAGTAGTGCCACTGTCACCCCCCACGTTCCTCCGAGGATACCAATGTTATGCTATCGACCGGCCCCTGGCCGGGCAAGGGAAGCGAGTATTATGGGTACCTAGGTATTTTTGGAAATTGTCAGTCTGTTACATGCGATGCCTACCTGTTTACCTACGTACCGGCTACCGTACCTCTACACTAGTGTACTTTCAATATCCGATCGACGTGGTATTTTGAGGTTGATGACCAGAGGATCCCTCCCCGACTTGGTCTTTATTGCCGATGCCAGTGCCGTGGCTGGCTTCCTCATACGTGACGTGACGTTCAAGGCACGCACCTAAGAAATGTCCAAGCTGGAGGGGGGGGAAAAAGGGGGCAAGATAACTGAAATGAGGAAAATGAAGTTTGGTCATGAGGTGGATTAACAATTATTCCATACCTACTCATTCATGCTCTGAGTACCTATCTGGAAGCATGCAAACCAGATTCCAAACGAATGCAGGTCCATCCATCCATCCATCCATCCATACATAGGGATAGCTGAGTGGCTCAAAGTAGGTAGGTATCAGCTAGGTATGTAAATATGTGAAACGCTGCACGGGCTCCGCAAGCATCGAAAACACCACATACCTCCAGATACGTCGACGTTGACAACGACATAAACACACATGATGGGATGGGATGGGATGGGACGATGGCACACACTCCAGAGGATGGGAAGCGTACAGCAAGAAAAAGCCACTGCGTGAGTTGCAATATCTCCGAAATAGTATAATCCAGTCCAGTCCCGTCCATGCCGTTCCGAACCCCCGGTTGACCAAGACCCAGCTGAACATATATATGCGGACGGGATAGTGCAAGTATAGGTCAGGGAAGTGAAGATCGCCGTTGACTTTATCGTTTTCGGTTTCCCCTTGTTCTTTTTCCTTGTTCTTCAACGGTGATAATGGGATGATATAGTTTGGAAGTGATCAAACGAGGATGGGAATGCATCGTATACGGTGTGGGTATCCGTCCATCGTGCAATAGGAATTCCATGTTAATATCTAATTCAGCCTAGCTTGAGCTCGGAATCAAGGGGGGGCGTTCTTCAGAATGTGATGTGATGAGGTCTATGCCTGTCCGTTACGGCCGGTGGTGTTTCGTGAACCAGTCGGGTGGTCTCCTTGATGGAAGTTTATCAGTTATCATAGTCAACAACGGGATTCATGGACACTAGCGATGGAAAGAGTGTAGCGTGTGAGAAGCACAGTGTTTACAATTTTGGATAAGACGTGAAATCTTCATTGATGGGAATTCTGGATATATCTAGAATCTAGAAGTTGCCTACTTTGAAGAACGAACTGGCGTTTTCTGGAGACTTTCATTCCAAAACTCTCTAGCGAACAATAGCCGATGATTTTCAGATACAATCGTAAAGGCGCGTACAGGGCATAAGGAATGACTATCAAAAGAAAATAATGTATACATTTGTGGTGATATGTAAGGGTTCGAATATTGTAGTGAACATAGAACACGTGTATGGTGGAAAAAAAAAAAAAAAAAAAAAAAAGGTGGCAGTGAAGAAGTATAGGACAGTCTAGCATCTAGTCATATTGGACCAAAGATCGTTGGCTCGAGTGTCACGACATCGTCCGTATCAGATCTATTAGAGTTTGGCGTATTCACGACGGGTCTAGCTTATCAGGTACTCGAGTTGAGGTATCCAACGTAAGACCTCGAAGGCAACGATGTAGTTAGAAATGTCCGTCATTCGTGTTGTGCCGACCAGCATACCCGCACGACTCACTCTAACTGTTTCCCCCAGCCACAGGCGTCTGATTCAATACCCAGACTCATCATTCCAATACTCCGTCTCGTGGAAGACCCTACAAAAAGGTATATCAGTATTGCAATGTCGATGGCGATTTGTAAGGTTGAAGGAGAAGAGAAAGAAACTTACTCAGGCCCAGTAGCATAAAACTCCCACCCAAAAGTCATTTTAATAAATTGCTGCAAATGACTAGCAACCTTGATAGCCCCTACATCCGTAGGATGCCACTGGGGCCCGATATCATTATGCTGCATGATGCCCGTGGTGTTGAAGTAGTGCACAAAGGGCTTGGTCTTCTTGCCGGTTTTCAGTGTCTTCTTTGTCACTCCATCGTATACGATCGGGTTCCGGAGGTAGTCATCCGAGTTGAACCACTTGTACATGTGGTAGATCTCGTTGACGAAGCCCTGGGGCGCGTTGGGGAGGTAGGTGTTGCCGGATTGGTAGAAGCCTAACCAGAGAGACTGTGTAGGAGAGAATCTGTGTAAGTGGGGTGCGGAAAGTATCTAAGGAATGGAGTTATTGAGGCGGGACATACCATAACCACAACTTGAGCTTTGGGCCACTTGCCATGGATACCTTGGATGATTCTTGTTAAAGCGTCGATGTAGATAGTTGTGGAAACGTTGTTGTGTGAGTTTTGATCGTTGGTGCCGATATTGATGACGACTATGTCGGCGGCTGGGCGCTTGCTAAAGTCCCATGGCTCGGGGTTGTCTGGAACACATGTTAGCTTGTACCCAGATCTTTAGCTTAGGGTCTCAAAGACACGATGAGGTTCCAAAAGTACCTCCATACATGACAGAGGCTCTGGGGCTCGTATCCGATGTATAAAACCATTGATGGACCTGCCCGTGAGGGTTGCCCCAGCAGTTTTGATCTGCCGCGCAGATGCCTGGATATGCAGTTATACTATATTCTGTGTTTCCAAGACCTGCACCAAGTCCGCTGTTTTGACCTGTTAGTTGTATCTGCCATAATGTGTCATGCTTGTAGCTGAACGCTTTTCACGGGGGTTTCCGAGGGAAACCTTTCTCCAGAACATTGACGCCTTTGTGTAAGAGAAACGAGACTTACTATGCCCAGCTCGATAGTCCTTCGTACGAGGTATACATTCCCGAGGCAAGACTGTCACCGATGACCTCGATACGACGACCATAATCAGGAATTCTGATCAGCTTTTCGCCCTTGGCAACGTGCACGGACTCGATCTGGATCCCATATGCCCAGTTCGTCACTCGCAACTCAAAGATTGAGGGACTTATGGGCGCCATCAAGTCAGACCCTGGGGTCTCTGGAGACACAAAGAGGTGTGTACCGCCCGCCGTGACGTTGGTGAAGATCCAATCCAGGCCGGAGATGCGGTACCCAACAAGAACACCATCGCTGGTCCAATTGCCAAAAGTAACTGCCACTATTTGCCCGGTATATCCGAACTGGATTCCGGGAGCCCTATATACCCGTTAGAACCTATGTCCATGGTATCAATTAACAAACGACTTACGACCACCAGGAGACGTATTTGGAATCCCATCGCCCTTTGTAGGAAATCTCACTCGCATTTCGCGGGTGCGTGTTGAAGGAGTATGACGACGGGTCAATCCGCGTGTCGGGGAAGGTGGTTATCCGTGGTTGACCGTTTTGGAGAATAGTGGCCGAGGCTGACAAGAAACTCAGGCCAAAGACGGGCAGTCTTGATAATGACCACATAATGCTGCTCTCTGTATGTCTCGAGCGGGCAGCGAAATGATACTGGTCCGGGAACTCAAGTTTGTCTACAAGGGAAAACCCGACATGACATCTCCGAGAGAGAAGGAGCGGATGATCTCATTCTATATCCTCGGAGGGAGCAGCCCGGGTTAAGAGCTTATAGGATCGAACCGTGACGGTCCGCCGGAAGAAGAGGATGTCGTTGCCGCCAGCCCGATAGTCTTGCATTCGGTGTCACATCGCTCGATGTGATATATTGACTTTTAAAGGGAATAAAGTAGCTTTTGCCTTAGCCCTGCATCCCTCGTCTTGCTTCAAAGCCATGGAGCTACACTGCGGTCACCGGCACATGCGCTTTGTCTACTGTTGTTGGGTCACGGGTTTGATCGAACCGGCATGAACTATAGTCGGACAACATGAGAACAAGGCGCCTTGCGTACCTAAGGAGATCTACCAGGTCAATGAAGATGTACCGAACTCGACGGGAAAGCTAACAACCTTCCTATAATCCTCTCTCAACACCAGTGTGACTGCGAATATCCTGGAGTGCCGCTGACCTCGGAAGAGGGCGCTCCGGTTGCCCCGATGAAGAACCCAGAGGGTACCTTTAGCAAGATGATACCGATGGAATTCCGGTTGACGAGTCTCGTTAAAGCCCAAAGGCTTTGCGGATGTCTAATCGCTCGTATACGCACATATACAAAGCGCGCGAAGGTCCAGATGTGGCGCACAGAGGTTGATCGTGTCGTGCTTTGATCGGATATGTGGATGCAACCAAAGATCATTCCATCCATGGACACTCAATCGCCGCAGCTATTGGATGTTTGCCAGACGCCTAGGTAAGTTTCAAGACCGGCTTGGAAAGCGCCCCCAAAGGTTGGCTGGTAACACCCTCAAGTCTGGTAGTGGGGGGACTTGGCAGCCGATGGTGTATCAAACAAGGGGGTCGATTAATCTTGTCTGACAGATTTTAACCACCTGCCCGTTTCGCTCGGTTCGCTGATCACCTGTCAATCAACTGCTGTCCATGGAGGCGCGCACTTGTTTCTTCCTCAAACACCCAGTAGAGGAACTGGAAAGTAAGTAAAGGCCGTCGCCGGAATTCTAGTCCTGCCCAAAGCCGGGACCGTCAGAACCTTCTCATCTTCAAACCGAACGGGAAGCACCGTGCATGTCTCGGAGCGCGTCGTAGATTGTTCGGAAAGGCAAAACAGTTTGCAGGCGTGGAGAGACGGTCAGGTTCGTTGACGGCGTCAGATCCCACCACCCTTCTTAAATCCTCTACCCCACGATCCCCACGATAAGGAAGGTCACGGTGTACCGACATCATCACATATTCAAAGAGCGCGGGATTTGGTAGAGAGCAGCAACTTCAGCGGCTCACTTCGGATTGCGTATCACCAACAAGAAGGAGGAGGAGGAGGAGGAGGAGGAGGGGAGGAGGGAAGACATTGGGAACTCACACCGACCCCGACACCGAACCCGAACTTGACGGCCATCCTCGTTACATTTATCGTCGCAGCGAACCTCTGATTCCCGCCCGCCGCTACTGTTCCTCCCAGGCCTTGCTTCTGACGAGCTCGATTATAACGCGTATCTAGACAAGGTTGCCTCCACCCGCGAGATAGGACAATGAAGCCGCGCGCGCAACGGACGTCGACGAGGCTCAAAATAGTGGTGATGCCGTGCCAGCTTGTGAAATTCAAGTGTCAACAGGTTCAAAAATCAAGACACGCCGTCCAAAGACCATCTCTACTACGCTTACCCCGCAGTGCCAACCCCCGGGGTCCCTCGGTAAACAGCGGTTTGGCGCATCGCCTTGCAGCAGCAGCAGCTCCGACCTCCATGTATGAGAGGCACCGAGTTTTTCGAGATCGAAACCGAGAACTTTGCACGTTCTGCCAACCCCCGTTGCGCCGTGTCCCCGCGTGGGACTCCGGCCCCTTTTCGCGATTGGACGCCGAACTCCACGATACCGTGTCCGAGCCCCGAGTCCAATCGCATCATACTACGTTCTACCGACCTACCGATTTCCGCCCGCCGCCGGGACGCTAGCCATTCCTGGCTTTGAATTCTCCATTGGCCTACAACACACCACGAAGCAGCACGATTCGCGATTTGCGATCCTCTATTTTTGGTAACATACCACCTACCTAAGCTCCAACGCGGGGAGCAGATCTTCGGATCCGCAACCGCCACCGCACCGGTCCCCCTGCGGCGTATCCGACAGACCATTGCGGCATTGTGGTACATACCATACCTAGCCGTCTTCCTCCGTCATGTCGACCTCCTCACACGTCCCGGGGAATGCCGTGCCTGACACGCAACTAGGACTCAGCAATGAAGAGATACAACTACTACGACATGGCCAGCAAACCGTGGCGGCCGCAGGGGGCGGCGGAGGAGGAGGAGGGGGGAGGAGGAGGAGGCGAATCGACCTCGTCTCGCGCAGCGAGCCGCGCCTCATCTCAAGGCCTGCTCGTTATGGACCCTTCCTCTCTGGCCGCTCTAGGCCGGCACTTTGACCGGGTCATGCAGCGCATCCAGCAGCAGCTCGAGTATCTGATAGAGCAGTCCCAGCAGGTCAACCTGGAGGTGTACGACCGCGCCGGCAACCTGGTCGATAATGCCGACCGCGAGATTGCGCGGTACCACAGCCTTATGGCCCAGATCGATGAGCTCGAGCTGGATTTTGATCGTATATCCCATATTCGGGAAATCGTGGCCGGGTTTCGTCAGCGCGCTGAGGATATAGAGCGCGAGTTGGAAATATCGGGGAGCGGTGCGTCACGAAGGGATCATCGCCATGGACATGGGCATCGTCACGCATCGCATCGCAGTCATGGACATCATCATTCGAGCTCTGGGAGGCAAAGGAGTTGAGCAAGTCGGAAATCAGAAGAAGGGTCAGAGACTCAAGGGAGATGAATTATCCTTTTCGGGTAACTCACCAACGACGAGCTATATTACGGGCCAGAGTGCCAGCAATGGAAGAAGGAGAATACCACATAGGAAGGAATATGATATACAACTTCATGCAACAAAGGCAGCAACAGTACAGCCATACATTGGAAAATATGAGGATATCCTCCAGGTCATGAAACAGCTAGAAGGAACCAGGTCCCGCGACCATCAGCAAAACATGTCATGGAAATCATTTGGGCGTTTTTGGGGGGTCATCAGGGAGCAAGCATATTTAGCGATATTCGGTGTGCACGGTGTTCAAGCTCTCGCCATTTATGAGTACGACGTCGGGTCGGAGGAGAACAGTACCGCCAGCTAAAAGGTGCAATACAATCACGTTCAATTATTGAAGGAAGACGGCGCTCAGGGGGAATGTGGTCACGAGAGTGAAGTCCTCAAGGGCAGACATAGAGTTGGTAAAAAATAATTGGGGGAATTTGTAACGTCATTTACTTCCGTTTCTGCTTCTCCTCTCCTATGTGATCGCACCGTGCCTTATCTAGAAAGACGGCGAGACGGGCCCCGCGGCTTGTGACCTCTGGCATACTTATCAACGGCTTAGCCAGGCTTTACTCACTCCTTTCATTCCTGTCTATATCCTCTTGTATATCCCAGATTATGAGCAATCATGTTCCATGTGTTATGTTGCTACGAATGTACTAGCAAAGGGTCAAGGCGCATGAAGGCCTTCAATGATATCTGTGGTACGACCGACCCTCCACGCCGGTCGATGGTGTGACATCCACACGGATCAAGAACGATAGCAATGACCTCTCCAAGCGACAGTGTCACCCTTTGATATGTCACTCACTGACCACCCATCTCCTCATCTTCGTCACTCATCTCCTCATCCGAACTGCGATAAAGCACCACCACCCTGTTATCCTCCTTCATTTTCCTCCTGTACCTCCCCGCCGCACTAGCGCGAACCCTTGTCTCGGTATCCAACTTCTCCTTTGCCTCGGCCGCGAGCTCCTTCATGGTGTGCTTAACATTCTTGGAAAGGATCCCCATCCAACCAGAGTGTGGCTTGCACTTCTTCTTGGTGCACATGCCTGCCGTCAGGGGGTCAATTTTAGGAACACCGTTGATTCCGTTGCGGCGGTCCCAGCCATTGACGCCATTGACACTACCTTCCTCATCTTCCTCCTCGTCGCCGTCCTCCACGTCATCTTCATCTTCGTGCTCACTCTTGATACGCACCGCAGATTCCGACAACAAAGCCAACAGATCTGTAGGCGCGTCCATCCGTCCCCTCTTAAAAATCGCTTCTCCCTCGTCGCTCTTCAAAAAGACACTAAACGCGTGAATTGCCCCGACTGTGTCCAGCCGCGTGTCGTAGCCGCACAGATCCTTGGCCGTGCCCTTCCCCGCCATGATGGCCGCCTCGCGTCGCTTCACCGCCATGTCGAGCAGCTGGAGCATCTTTTTACAGAGCCCAATCTCCTCGCCCAGAGCGTAGCGGTCGGCGGCGGAGCGGTCGAGGATGGACCGCTCTTCTGGCGTGAGGACTACCGAGAGGTCGGCGGTGTTCCAGAAATTTGGGGGGACGCCTGTGAGGGTGGGTTAGCTTGGTGTACCTGGAGGGAAAGGGGAGTGGGTTGGTGGGTCGAAAAGAGGGTGATGAAGATGTGAGTGGGAAATAAGTTTGGATATGAGGAGTGGGGCGAGAAGGTGAAGGTTGACTGATGGATAAAGTATAATGACGTGAGAGCCACATACCGAAAGGTTCATCCCCAAGATGCCATGGTGGATCATCATGGCCTGGTTTACTATCCGGCGGATTCAAGAGTCCCATAAACTCCTGCCGAGTCAAGTTGTCCATGCCCACCTCTCTTGTTCGTGGCAGTGTAGCCACCAGTTGATCCCACCATGCATTACAATGCTCCGGCGAGCAGAAAATGCTGCGTTCCTCTTTGGCATCCTCGTAAATCTTGGCCGGCTGGTCGCACCCATCGAGCGAACACATCTTCTTGTACCGAGTAACCAAGCCACGGCCGGGGACTTCACACCTGGGGCAGATATACCTCTGCACCAGGTTCTCGCCCGTGTACTTGTCCATGTCGATACACTCGCCGTGGAACCAGTCCTCGCAACGGTCACATGCTATCATGAACCGATGATTGTCGGGTCCGCCGCAGATACAGTAGGGGCCGCTGTCGGACTCGCTCATTCCACTGCCTCCTCCGTCTTGCCCACCGGCTGGGCTACCGGCTGGACTACCTCCGTCGTCGAATTCGCTAGGTAGAGTCGTCGCTGATGTGTCGATCTTCTTCCTGATTCCGCCTCCTCCTGTTGTTGCTGCTCCCTTGGCCGTGCCTTTCCTGGCCCCTCCGCCTGCTGTCCGTGCCCGCTTGGGTGCCTTGATGGTAGTTGCAGTACCCCGCCTCCTCGACTTTGGTGTTTTTGATGATGTCGTCTGCGACTTGGCCATAGTTGCTGGTGAGCCGAATTTGTCATCACCCATTATATGGTCACCGTCCTCGTCGCTACTAGAGTGTTCGGAGCCACCGTAGAGGCGACGATCACCTTGTTGTGAAACATCGTTGATATAATGAGATGCGGATGCAAATGACATTTTGTTCTTGCTGGTGTTGGTGCTCTTAGTTGTTTGATCACTCTCGGCGACCGAAGGGCTGGTTTGTCTCCCGCTTTCATCCGTCGTTGGGCTGGCTGCTGCCTCTGGTGCGGCCGGCTCAAGAGTAAAGAAGGAATTTGAAAATGAGGAGGCCATCCTGGTGGATTTTGTGAATGACGTGAAGTGCTAGCAATTGTTACTCAACCTGCGTGGCAGTGGCAGTGGCAGCTACCGCCACTTCACCAAACTACGGGTGCAGGTGCCAACCTGGAGGCAACCTGAACCAAATTGGCAGTGCAGAGAAAACGCTGGGGGATTCGTGCTTAACATTCGACGCACGGCATCTTGATGCCAATTGACTACCGAAGCAACGAAGTTCAACCGGCAACACGCTTGAGCAATATCGCCAAGGGTGATACCGTTTGAACGATAGTGACCCTGGCGTGAAGATTGGGATCAGGATAGGGATGAAGGTGGTTTGAGTGGACGCGCTCCAAAGGCGTCTAACATGATACCAACGGCTTGGCAATATTTGCTAAGCGCATAGCGTGTCAACCCGACGACCCTGAGCTTCAGTGCCCCACTTTATTTTTGATCCCGCGGGACGGGACCTGGAAGCTTTTAGTGCTAAGCACAGGCCGTGCCGACTGCCGCCCGTATTGCGCGGGGAGATTTTGCGCTGCAAGCCGTCTGGAGTCCGGACTCCTCCGTTAGCCCTCCAGGTCACCTCGCCGGTCATTTGTCATCCGGTCCGCGTCTGATTTTTGGAAGTCAACATTCGAGATTCCACTTTGATTGTCAACCACGACGAACAATACCACCGCGCGAATGAACATGTCGCACGTCATTGCGCCCATGCGCACCTTTTCCAGTGTCCTCTCCAGGACCCCCGCGAGGCAATGCCAGCGGTTCATCTCGACAGCTACAACCACCCGGCCTACCGTCCCGAGACTCCAAGCCCAGCTCCATCAGCCAGTGGCGCAACGCAGAACCTATAAGACCGTCGAGGAAGCAAAGAGCAAATACCGTTCGGGAGTACGTCTGCGTGTCGTCGACTAGACGCGTCTTCCGCCTCACACATTCCCTACGACAACAATCAGCTGACACTAGCGACTGTTGCGGGTAGCCCTTTTCCTGGAAGGCCGGCCTTCTCTTCGTCCTCACCGGCGCCGGCTTACTATGGTACTTTGAGCACGAGAAGCAGCGCATGCAGCGCAAGAGGATAGCCGATGCGACCAAGGGTGTTGGCAGGCCAAAGGTCGGCGGCCCGTTCGAGCTGATCGACCAGAACGGCAAGCCCGTGACGGAGAAGGATCTCAAGGGTCGCTATTCCTTGGTTAGTTTGATCTAGACGCAATCTGTTGCAACACAAAACCCCTGCGCTTTCACATTCAAGCTCGCTGACCAAATCCTTTACTTTCCTACAGGTCTACTTCGGCTTCAGCCACTGCCCCGACATCTGCCCCGAGGAGCTTGACAAGATGGCGGCCATGTTCGAAAAGGTGGAGGCCGAGCGTCCTGGCGCTCTCAAGCCTGTCTTCGTTACCTGCGATCCGGCGCGCGATACCCCCCAGGTGCTCAAGGAGTACTTGGCCGAGTTCCACCCCCTATTCATCGGCTTGACGGGCACATACGACCAGATCAAGGCCATGTGCAAGGCGTACCGCGTCTACTTCAGCACTCCCTCCAAGGTCGAGCCTGGCCAGGACTACCTCGTCGACCACAGCATCTACTTCTACCTGATGGATCCCGAGGGTGATTTCGTTGAGGCCCTCGGCCGCCAACACTCGCCTGACCAGGCTGCCAAGGTGATCTTGGACCACATGAAGGATTGGCAGGGTAAGTGGAAGAAGGATTAGGCGGACATCTGACTTTGATACAAAAGTAAAAGACACAGAGTGTAGAAAACGTGTACGATAAATCGACTTCGGTACTTATACATTAAAGGATTTCTTCTGTCGGGCAGCGATACCGAGCGATGGTGCCTCAAAGTTCTTGGATATGCGTCGGGCGGGCTCGGATTACTTTTGTCACTTTAGACCATTTTGGGTTCTGTACGCATCCCGATCTTCAAGTATAACAAGATGGGCCAGTTGGGCTCGATGACCAAGTCGAATGTTTAATGGTATGCTAGAATACGAACCAAGGTCCTTAGCGACCTTGCAGCTACAAGCCAACTTGTAAGGCAACCTTAACACGGCATGACATAACAGGCAACATATTGATTGTGTTTCATCAAGTAGTTGATGTAATGGAGATCAAGAGAAAGGATACGGGGTACAAACTGGTCGCGTGTCAACCGTGAGTCGTGACACCAACACTCTTATGTACTCGGCAACGGAGCCTGCCGTATCTTATCGGATGTTACGTCATGGTCAGCACGTGCGGTTTTCCCAAAGCTGTGGTAACAGAAGGTGGGGTCGCCGTAGTGCAGTGGGTCTTCCATTCGTGCCTTTCTCTTTTTTTCCTTTCTACCTAACTGACAATGGATGTTCCAACCATTGGCGGCGCCTACTCCCTTGCACTGCGCCAACGAGAAAGGGCCCTGGATTTCTTTTGCTTCTTTCCTGCGATTGGTGCCCCCACGTCGAGTGCATTGCAGTCACTCCAAATCCTATCGTTTATGTCTTATTTGCTGTGTTGAGGAGATTGCTCTTCCTTGTTTCCATAAGTGACACGGAAAGTTCAGGTCATACGTAAGGTACAGTATGTGAAAGAGGGAAGACGACTTACATGCATGGTTGGGCAGTCGTACACTACCAAGGTAGATAAGGACTCCGTCGTTGGACCGTGGAGCCCGAAACGCATCAATCAGACATCTTGTCTTTAAACAACACTTTAACACTTCTCGCAATTTGTTCTATTTTCTTTGCCTTCGTAAAGTATCTCATATCAGACGGAGTATATTTACCATTTACGATCTTGGCTGAGATTCATAGGCAATAGACCGCGTGGGTTTTCCCTCTTCACTTCATCGCCGGCGTGATCTTCGGGGCTCCAGGGCGACAAACGCACCCGCTCCAGGCGCCTTCCAGGCACACGCTACCCACTCGAGTCGCCGACTAGTGTATCATCTCACCCGTGTGGAGCCCCTCGTGAAAAGAACGAGACGGGTCGGCTCGGAAGGTCGCGGTCGCAGACGACATATCTTCAGCCCGTGGTAATCTCAAAAGAAAACTTCTACATTTTATCTCAATCGCGACATATCGCTTTTCGTTTCGACCATCGCGACCTCCATTTAGTTACGCTGGTTTGGGCAAAACTCCTATCTGTTCCATCCAACACCATGTCGGCACCGTCCTCCGTTAACGAATCCATGAACGGGTCTGTCAACGGGCCAACGATCCGCCCCAGACGTTCGGCACTCAAATATGAAGGCGACAGTGACAGAGTACACTCTTCGGGCGCATCCTCCAAAGGTTGGTGGTTCGCTCTCTTTGTTTCTTGCTTCTTTCTTTCTTTTGAGACTTGTTTGTACGACCCATGATGCGTGCACGTACAGTGAGCCACCCTTTATCGTGTGCCACCCCAAGATAAGCTCTCGCTACCAGAGGAGTCTGACGGTGAAAACGGCAGCCTGGATGTGAGCATTGTTCGTCTCATGTATCACGATATGGATCAGATGAATAGGCCGATGTGGGCATTCCAGCCCATGTCGTGTTACCAAGGGAAGCAAGGGGGTGAGTGGGCAAAGCTCACTTTGCCAATCTCTGAAATTTCCGTATATGTAACACAAGTTTATCCCGGGTCAGAGAGTTGTGGTTGACTTTGCGTAGCTGTGCAGATTGCGGAACCTGAGACTCCTTCTGTGGAAGAGCACCACGTTAAGAAACAGTTCTCTGCGAGCGTAGCCAAAAGACTTGGTGGCCGACCTGCACCCACCTCAAACCCATCGAGAACCTCACTCGCTTCAGGTACCAGCCAAGCGGACATCGACAACTCCGGCAGTCCGACTGTACTGACTGCATCACCTGCCCCAATGGATGAGTCTCCGGCACACGGTCCACAAGGTCGTCACCGTAACAAAATAGACCGGATCAGTGAGCGACTGGTCGCCCAAGTAGCGGAATGGATTCAGCATGAAAAGACCAAGAGGGAAACTAGAAAGACAGTGAAGCTTCTTCGACGGCGCAAGACACCACCCATCCATGTGAACGGAGAGCCTACCGTCTCCTCGCCTACCCGCCCTCGTGCGGATTCCATCAGTTCAGACTCGAGCGAGGTTTCTTTGGACAGACTGCAAAAGATCCTCAATGACGGCATGTCTGCTCTCGGCCTAGACCAGGTCCCGCAGCTCGGCCCCCGTCTCGGACGCAGACGGTCTAGGAGGAGTCTCAAGGCGCCTCCTGCCCGCACAGCCTCTTCCGACACGGAATTTTTTGACGGCGATGTCGTTGTTCCTAGCTGTGACGTGTTCCTCGACAACTCAAAGACCATGAGTTACTCGGGCGGCAAGGCGACCACCGATGATACGCCTTCGCAAGCCAGCCGTAGGGAAGAGAAGGAGAAGCAGGCTTGGCTGACGTTCAAGAACGAGATCATCAGGCTGGCACACACTCTTAGGTTGAAGGGGTGGAGGCGCATTCCGCTCAACGGTGGTGAGACGATCTCTGTTGAGCGACTCAGCGGAGCGCTGACGAACGCTGTGTATGTGGTGTCACCGCCCCCTGAATCTATTTTGCCTCCGCAGGAGGGTAAGAGACAGCCGGAAAAGGTCTTGCTCAGAGTCTACGGCCCGCAAGTTGAGCATTTGATCGACCGAGAAATCGAATTGGGCGTTCTCAAGCGCCTGGCGAGAAAGAAGATCGGCCCTCGGTTGCTCGGTACCTTTTTGAACGGCCGCTTCGAGCAGTATTTCAACTCCACCACGTTGACGCCAGAGAATCTTCGTGAGCCTGAGACATCCAAACAAATCGCCAAACGCATGAGAGAACTCCATGACGGCGTTGAGCTTCTTGAGCATGAAAAGGATGAAGGTCCTGGTGTCTGGAGAAACTGGGATAGGTGGCTCGACCAGGCTGAGAAGACGGCCATGTACCTCGACAACCAGGTTGCAGCCCAGCTTCAAGAAACCACTCGCCACAAGGAGACTTGGAAGACTAGGGGTTTCGTCTGCGGTGTCGAGTGGCCCGTGTTCAGAAAGATGGTTCAGAAGTACCGCAAGTTCCTAGAGGACTATTATGGCAGCCCTACCAAAATAAGGGAAAAGCTGGTCTTTGCCCACAATGATGTTTGTCCACCGCATATCCTGTTATTCACTGAGAAAAATTATTGACCAAGAATCTAGACTCAATACGGGAACATTTTGCGCATTCGGCCCGACGATAAGAAGTCGCCTTTGCTGCAGCCCGCCAACGAGCACAAGCAGTTGATCGTCATCGATTTTGAGTATGCCGGAGCGAACTTGGCCGGCCTGGAGTTTGCCAATCACTTCTCCGAATGGACCTACAACTATCACGATCCTGTTACGCCACACGTTTGCGATGCTACCAAGTATCCAACCCTCGAACAGCAGCGGCGGTTCATCAAGGCCTACGTGGACCACCAGCCGAAGTTCCCTTCGGTACCTGGTGTATCAACACCATCGGTGACACCGTCAAGCACGGACACGCCTAGGCCTGGCATGCTTCAGAGCACCAACTCGGCAAGCTCCATTGTGGAATTCATGTTGGACGCCCGCGTGCCGCCAGGTGGGTGGAAAGAAGAGGACGCCCGTCGTGAAGCCGAGTCGGAGAAGAGGATTAAGGAACTCTTGGAAGAAACCCGGCTCTGGCGGGTTGCCAACAGCGCTCAATGGGTGGTATGGGGCATCATCCAGGCGAAGATTCCAGGACTGAATGACGGGGCGAAAGACGTGGTAACGACGCCGGAAGGCAGCGTGCCTGACGAGGAACTCGAGGCGGAAGAGGAGGCCGATGCGTTCGACTACCTGGGCTACTCGCAGGAGAGGGCCTTTTTCTTTTGGGCGGACTGTGTACGCCTTGGGCTTGTCACAGAGGAGGAGTTGCCGGAGAACGTTCGTTGCAGGCTTAAGTTTGTTGAGCAGTGATGAGGCCTCTGAGGCTCTCGAGATGAAACAGAAAATAGGAGGTGATTTTGGTAACTATGAAGAAGGGATACGATAAGGCGAAGAGGAACAAGTGGGTTAAGGCCAGCGCATAACGTCAGTGGCTAGGCCCGGAGCCGAGTGGCCCGACCTATATACTGTTGAGCTTTTTACATATTTACATATACACCCGCACGTTACAGCTCGACGGCTTCATGCGATGCGAGGGCGTTGACGTGACCTGCATAGCCAGCCAGGGCCTGCATAACGTAGCAGTTGGTAGTTCCAATGATATGGGAAAGCGGTGTATCTACAACCATGCATGATTTACGGATTTGTATGTATAGTTAGAGCCCTATGCTTACTGCTACACCGTGAGTGTCAACATTTACTGTCGAAGTCTACTTCACGTTTTATTTCAACATGGGCGTTGTAACACAGGTACGTGCCTTCCAAGTGATGCCTGCGCTTCAATGTGCACAGTTCCGATTAATGAAGCCTCCCCCGCATTGCACACGCCGTTGCAGTTCATCTCAACTTCCAGTTACTAGACTTTATGAGGGCACTGTGTTAATAGTGCAAGTGCCCAATCCTCAATGCCAAGACATGTTTGATAGCTTTCACTTATTGTGGTCCATGTTTCCTCCCTCTTCAGTTTTCCTCCCTCTTGTCCTCAAATCTCTGTCCTCCATGATTGATCTTATTGCTTGAAAGAGATGACTCGGCCCATCATGCACACAGCTCTGGATCGTCTGAACCTGTTTCAAATCTCGAAAAGAATTAACTATGTAGTTGAACCTTCCGCGTTACATAGCGTGTAATACCGAGAGACACCAGAGGCCCAACAAAAGCGCGAAAACCACCAATGTCCACGTTGAACGAAAGCGGGGGGCTGGCAAGGCTGGTCGCGGTTCGCCCAACCACCGGGAGGCAATACGAAGCCATTCGGGCAACGTCCTTCCCAACCTCCACAGACATTGTCATAGGGCGAGCAGGGCGTGAGTCGGCCAAAGGGTACAAACGGAACGCATTTGCGACATTGTAGAGAGGTCGCCTGCAGCAGCAGCATCATCATCATCAACAACTTGCTAGTTGGATGGATCCTCATCATCGCCTCAAGAGGACCAAAACGAATCGACGTTTGCGATTCTTGCGCGCTTATCTTCCTTGTTCTTGACCTACAGGCTACCTCCCACAGGTCACCTTCAATCTCTAGCTCCACAATCTCGAATCCCAATTCGTGCATCCCGTTTTGGATCCGGTTCTGGTTCTGGTTCTGGTTCCTGCCCCTGTTGCTAGTTCCAAGCATGAACTTCGACAATCCAGATGTCAGTTATGCCGAAGAGCTTGATTCACGTATGTAGAGCTGCGTCATATTACCATGTTGACGGCATATCTAAGCAGTGTTCAATTTTTTTAATATTTTTTTCTTCCCTTATCTTTAGCGAGCTGGATGCACTAACAACTGGCACTGCCCACCACTAGTAGCCCGAGGCCCACCAGATCCGCAGTATCTCACCGCCGATCCAAGGCCGCCGTCGAACCGATCCGGAGGCACGTTTGGCCACCCGGAAGAACGCCGCGTCGGTAGTAGTGCTCTTGACTCGGACTTGTCGTTCACATCTAGACCTGCTTATTCGGCAGCCGCTGCTGCTGCTCAACCGACGCCGTCCGTTTCACATCCACCATCAACTATCATTTCTCCGTCCGAATTCGCTCGGAGCTCTTCCGATAACAACAACACGAGCGATCAACAAGTGGATAGCGGAGCCACCGACCACCGCCGCAACGGCCACGGGACGGGAGCCCCAACCACTGCCGGAGGAATAAGCCGAGACCATTTAGCCCATGCCAGCCCCATTGTCATTCAAGGGCCACCGCGCGTCTTACCAGACTTACCACCTCTGCCGCCCCCAACCTTTCGACTGCAACAACAGCAACAACTTCTTCAACAACAACCTCAAATAATGCAACGAAATCCATACCAGCCATTGCCGGGGGGTCTGCCTGTAGACAGTGGGCTCGCAGCAGGTCCGGTCCAAGACTTCAAAGACGATCTCGCCAGGGAAGCTGGGGTGGTCACCCCAGGTGTCGACGACACGCCCTATGTCCAGTACGCCATCGAAGCTCTCACTCGTGGGAACAGAGAATCAGGTTACTCGGGGGATGGGTCGTCGGGTAGTGAATGGGGAGCTGGAGGAGGAGGAGGAGGGCTAGGTCTAGGGACTCTTCCTGTTGGTTATGTACCCGCACAGCACCAACAGCAAGAACGACATCAACCTCGAGAGGGGGAATCGACTGAACCTTCATCAACATTAGATCCCGCACTCAAACAACGTTTCGAAGAAGACAGACGCCTCCTCCAGACACCCTTCCAGCCCAAGAACCCTGCCGTCTCAGCGGACTCGCTCGCATCAACATTGTTAAAAAATGGCCCACGGCCAGCGCAGCCGCACGAATGGAGGCCGCTGGACAGAGACGCGCTCATAGCCAAAGTCGGCGAGCCCCGAGCCAACGGCCTCCCAACACTCGACTTCCTCCCGATGCCCCTAACAGCGCGCTCGCTGGTCGCCTTCATGCTGATGTGCCTCTTCATGGCTGCCGCGCTGATTTTCTCGGCCGTGTGGTCACATATGCAGAACGGACTGACGGGATACGTGAGCATCTACGGGTCTTCCTACTTTCTATTTCGGATCCTGCCGCAGTTCCTGGGCGGATTATTATTGTTATGGGCGCAGTTTATCATCATCACCGCCTTTCGAATTCTTCCCTTTGTGCACCTGGCTTCGCCTAACATCAGGGAGCGAGATGGCGCGCTGTTCGAGGATATGTATCCCCGCTCATTCCTCTGGCCGCCGCAGTTTATTGGGGGCTGGAAGGTTTGGGTTCCGATCCTGGCTACTTGGGTTTTTGGGATGACTCTCCCGCTGCTTAGTTCCCTGTTCACAGTTGTCTTTGTGGATGATGTCTGGATGTGGGCCACGGTCCAGGGCGTTGCGTGGACTGCCGTGGCGCTTTATCTGGTGATGTTCATCTCGACCGTCATTCTTTGGAGGTACTTTGCGACGCTGCGATCAACGGGACTGGCGTGGGATCCGCGATCCCTGGCCGACATAATCGCCATTGTCTCCGAGACTAACACGGCGGACGAATACCGAGGTACCCAGCTAGCGAGCAACCGCGGGCACATTCGCTTTGCGCTCCGCCACCAGGCCAACGTCCGACTGGGTTATTGGACGTGGAAGGACGGCCGGTCTGGCGTGTGGTACACGTTGGGAAGTCCCATGGATCAAGGCTTCATCGCCGTACCGCTTCCCGACCAGCTGACCGGCAAAGGGATGACCAAGTTTCAAGAAAAGCAAGGTCTGATGGCCGCCATCAACATCAACCCCGTCGCCGGCAGCAACAGCGGCAGCGGGACTGGCACGGGCATGGGAACTGGCACCGGGACCGGAGAGGACTACGACATGGAAGCCGGCTCAGATGGCACCCCTTCCCCACAAGGCCGTTACCGCTACCTCCCCTGGTGCCTGCGCACCTCGCCTCTCCTTCTGCTCCTAACCGGCGCTTTCATCCTCCTCCTCGCGCTCTTCATCGTCTCTTTCCTCCCCGCGACCCGCATCACCAAGGGGTTTCTCCCCGGCCTCCCTGCCGCTCCTGTACAGGGCGCCTTTTCAGCCGCCAACTTCCTCTACTCCTTCCTTCCTTCCCTGCTCGGCCTCATCTTGTATCTCCTCTTCCAGACCATCGACATGCACCTCCGCATACTCCAGCCGTGGGCCGCCATGTCCTGCTCTAACCGCAAAGGCGGTGCCTCAGCCGACGCCTCTCTGCTGGCTGATTACGCAGCCTGCGGTCCGGTGACGGCCACCTTTCACGCGCTCAAGAACGGACACTGGCGCATGGCTTTCACCTCGGCGTGCTCGACCCTGTTCATCCTGCTTCCCGTCCTGGGTGGCGGCATGTTCATGGCACTGACGCAGCCTGCCGGCGCGCTGGTAGACGATCACGATGATGTACCCACCAGCGAGGAACAAGTCCTCATGTTCCCCAACTTCCCCGCCTTCGCCATCGTTCTGGCGCTGTGCGTGCTCTACTTCTTGGCTCTGCTGTCGTTGCTTCCCGCAAGGAAACCGTTTCGGTTCCCGCATGGCGTCACATGTTTGGCGGAGATCATTTCTTACTTGGCCAACGAGGACTTGCTGGGCGATTTGGCATTCAAGCATTGTCGCAGCAGGGAGGAGTTGAAGGAAAAACTTGGGGTGGGCAGAGGCGTGCCGGAGACGAGACCGAGGTGGACGTTTGGGTTGGGGTACGGCGGCAGTACCGGCGTGGCGGGCGAGGAGACGCTGGGCGTGAGGAGGGCGAGGAGGTTTACGGTGAGGAAAAGCCACATTAAGTTTGGGGGGTTAGATCAACCCTTTTTGAGTTGAGTGTCTTGCAGCAGGTGTGATTACTATGATCCTGGATGGTGGTAATGATGAGAAATGTATTATGAGGATATGGTCATGATGTTTGGTTTTAATGCGATCATGAAATTGTTTGGTGGACATGTTTGTTTGGGTCCTGGGAGGCTTACCGCGCGTGTTACTGTACCACCTCTTCGACGAACTTTTTCAATCTTCTTGACGAGTATCAACTTCTTTGTTGGTCGACCTGTCATGTTTCAGACGCACGATATAAAGCCTAGATGTGGTCAAAGCATTGCATTGGAGTTCGGGTTACTTTTAAATTAAACCAGCATGTTGTGGTTATAGCAATCAATTACACTTGAGGATATCAAAACCGAAAAATATTATTGTTATCAAGCATGCGTTCGAAATTGGCACATACCGATGCTGCCTTCAGCATAGACATATACATCTGTGAAAGGTATAGCTGTGCCTTGTTATCTCGGCTGTTATTATGGCATTGAGAGCAAAGGAACATGGATTGGGGGCCTCCGGCGAGGGGAAGAGCAACAATCCATTGGAAGTCATTCAGGCCACTATGTGAGAGGAGTGACCTACAACTCACAAAGGACAGAAGTCCACTGCGTCCCACGAGTTTGTTGACGGTGTTCCGAAATTTGATCGAGATGAAATCAACTTCTCGACTGTAGTGTACACTTGTACTGGCGTACTTTTCGAGCTTTCCTTCAAAGCCTATCTTCCGGTAATGAGAAGTCGGGCAAAGAGTATCAAAGACTGTCACCAAGAGGCTCGCAAACTCCCCATGTCTCTCCCGCTTTATTAACGAATCTGAAATAATTAGCATTTACCGGGTTGGTCTGCACCATGAAATCATGAACCCCACTGGGACCGTTGACGATTCGGATCCCATGCGTGGTGAGGTAGATATAGGAGCAGTCCTATAGACGGCATTCTCGCGTTCGTTCCAGGAAGAATACCCACAGACATCTTCATCTGGATCTTCGATTCAACAAGGTATCCAAACCACCGTAAGCTCCACAGTAGGAATGTTCTATTTCGCATCCAGAACTTGGGAATCGAGTCGTGAGAGGGAACCCAGTGGGTAACATCGACGTCAGACAGGCGTGGAGGCCATGCGATTAGGATGAGGTACGAAGGAGGCAGGAGATCGGCCGTGGTGAGAAGTAGGGCCTTGTTTGACAATTTTCGACGTTGAGAATGGGACCATGGTTGGGGCTAAAGCGGGTTGTGGGCAGCCTGCCCTGAACCATCCTCTTGGAATCTTGGGGTTCTGAGACAGGTCAGCGATTGGAGAATGCAACACTGGTGCATGAGTTTCGTCACATCTCATGTACTGCCAACGCATCGATTTCATCCATTCCAACTTCCAGCTGCCTCACATCCAGGCTATCCAGCCAGCCGCTCAATCCGAGCCAACGTGACTTTTTTAGTATTCGCCTCCGGTGAAAGCGTTAGCTTGTTGGTAGTAAAGAAGGCATGAAGGGTACCCGAATAGAACGAGTGTATATGTACTGTACGCAAAGAAGAGGCCAATATCCAATCTCGATGACTTTTTGGGAGAGGATCGTCTTGGCTAGAGCTTCTCTTTTCATACTGATAGTGTCTGTTGATGGTTAGTGTAATGAGGAGTGCCTTGAGCTGTGCCTTGGGCCCGTTCTTTGTGCAACGACACTAGCACGCCGCATCTTCAGATTGTCTTAACGGGCCACTTCGTATCGACCGACCTACCCGTGTCACGACCGTTATGCCGTGACAGGATGCTTCGAGTCTGCTCCGGTTGTCCGACCATGCTGCCTTGCAAAGATCAAGAGGTTCTCGACGGTTTGAGCAGTGTTAGCCAGACTGATTGTTTGCAGATATATTGTCGCAACTCGAGGAAGCTAGGCCGTCTTTGTAGTGTCAGGCGCTCGACAGTTATGATTTGGCCTGGAGGAGATAGGATAGCTGATTACCATACTAAGTCGGCGCACAACGCTCTGTGTTGGCATGGAACTGAGAAAAAAACAGAAATTGAAAGTCAAAGATTGGCAAACAGCCGGACTCGTTGGCCTGTATCTGGCAAAGAAGAGGAAGGAATGATTCAGTTCAGAAGGATCCATGACGTTTGTCTCAAACTCATAGCAACAGGCGGGGTTCACCCGCCTCCATTCGTGCTTCCTGTCTGCCTCTACCTGGTGCCTTCCCGAGCGGGAATTTCATATCGTTCTGCAGTGCTTTGTGTACAACTGTGCCTGCACTTGTAAGTCAACTTGCATTGCCGAACGGCAAGTGCGTGGTGGAGAGGACCATTCATAAGGTCGGGTGTTGTCCAGTCTGGGAAAACGACCGAGGGTATCGTCGACACCTACCTTACAGCTTCCTTTCCCAGCTGGGGCTTGAGCATTCGACTACGAGGCTTTCGCCCGGCTGAACGAATCGACACCAATTCGAGCCATTGGCGCCCGAGTCAACTCCCTAACGACGCCTCAGCCATTGCGCATTGACGAGTGCTCAGTTTGTCGGCTTGGCAAAAGGTTGACCGATGCCTTGGTGAGGCGGTGAGGAGGAAAAAAAAAAAGGCGGATGTGGTTTTGTCGTGACGGTCTTTACAAGCGGTCGGGCAGCGACATCTTTCCCTGCTGGACAGACCTGGGAGTGAGGTGTGCTATAGCTGGCAGTGTGCAATACCCTAGGGCCCCCGAGGAGGGGCGCATGGGGAGGCAGGCAGGGAAGCATCTAGTGTGTGTTAAGGTTCCAGCCGGTCCTGTCCAGGGTTGATGCTGAGGACAGCCCGGGCAGCAACGTGGGGGATCTCTGACCGGCCTGGAACAACACACTACACCATCATAGCATCACCTCACCCTGCTGTCAATCCATCAGCCTCATCATCCATCCCGCAGCTCGTCGTCCTCTGGTTGCCCGACACGACTACACGAGTTAACAACGGGTACCACCTTCAAAAGGGCACCCACCCGGTCGACAGCGCGGCTTTGACTTTTGGCTCTCTTTCTGCTCTTCAACAAACCATTCAGTTTCCTATTTGACCAGGCCAGACTTCATCACTATTGCTGACACCCCGGACAACCAACCGACAACTTGCCCAGACCGGAACCCGAATTACAAGTACACTACGGTACAGTGCTAGTGCTGTCCGATCGCCCGCCTGTTTTGGCTGTTCAAACACTCGTCACCAAAACTCACCAGCCACGCATTTTTCCACTTCCATCCCATCACCAAACCCGACCTCGTCCATTTTTCGCAACAGCTACCTCCAATCCACGATTACCCACCAGACTTGTTGCATTACCCCTGTTCACTGTTCACTCCACACTAGAAGAACAGGAATATTCCCTTTTGCACTTCCATTCCTGCCAGGATATTGCTTTCATATCCTGTCATGACACACGGAACTCCGAGCTAGACAGAGACATCAAGGTGAGTGGAGAGAAATCGAAAAGGCGGACGGTTGTCGCGCCGTAATGTCGGTACGGTGTGTACCTTGGTAACGACAAGCATGGACACCACCACCACCGATCCGTCCACAAGCATCTACAGTCTGCTTTGCAGCAATTTCTCCTTCCTCTGTCTTTGCGCATTGCATGTAACGGCAGCATCTGACCCGAATCGCAGCCTTCGGCCCACCATCCCAGCCCGCCCTCCCTAGCCTGCCTACTAGGCGCGTCGCATTTCGTCACCACCAGGGTGGTGACCCTTCACCTTGTCAACCACACCAGCGCCCGCTGGCGATGAGGGAGATATTGCCGCCGGAACACACCAACCTCCACCTTCCCAGAACCCTCGCGATTTTTACAATCCGATAACGCCCACGCAGCGTCAGCAGCGCACTCTTCCTCTCCGGTCAGCCACGGCGACACCTGCATCGGACGACGCATCCCTCACTCCGTCTTCTCACCGAACTCTCCGTCGAACACCGCGCTTTCAAGCTGCTCGCAGTCCGAGCCCAGCCCCGAGGCCATCCCGATCTTCGCGCCGCATTCACCTCGAGGCGGCCAGCGTTGGCATCGCACCCCAACCTATCTTCGCAACTGCTGGTCCCCCTGGACTTGGACAACCCCCTCAGCCACACGGAAGCTTTCAGCAACGCCCTTTGCAAGATAGCAGCGACGATCTCAACGAAGACACGTTCCCGCCCCAGCCGTCGTTTATCCCGGAACGGACTTCCTCCTTGTCCCACTCCAATCCCCTCCGCCTTTCTCGACACACAAAGAGTGCTATTCTCTGGGCTCTCGAGGAAGCTCTAAGGCAACCGTATTCCTTCTCGCCAGATCTGGACGAAGAAAACGCTTCGATGGCGGATCTACTGAGCGGCGGCGTCGGCCCTGCTACTTCCAATGGTCATGCCGTGCCATCGCCGCGACCTACCGTACCTTCTCAAACTGGCTCCCCCCAGCAGGTGATCCGTGGCCCTAGGATGATCATGCGTGAACGTGCTGAACGAGAGGCAAGACAAAAGGCCGAAAGAGAGCAGATGGAGCGTGCTCGCGCCGAAGAGGAGGCGCGTATGCTTGAGGAGACGCGTCGACAGAACGCCGAAAGGAGAAATGCTGCTGCTGGCGCTGCACCAGGTGGTAACATAGCCACCGACCCGGCCACACAACGTAGGCAAAAACGAGCTCAAGATGCCCAGGGCGGTCCCCAGGTACAGCCTGGAAATCCCCCGCAAGCGGACGTACCGCAACCTTTGCGCCCAGCTCGCACCGGTCAACCAAATCAGGCACCACAGGGCTTTACACCTGCCGCTGGGACTGGCGGTACAGCGCCTGGGCAACCAGCCGAGCCGTCAGCGCCAAATGCCGGTACCAGGATGAAGAACTCGTTCCCACATGCCTTTGAGCGATGGGAAGCCCTGTCAGCGCACTGGGAGGGAATGACCAGCTTTTGGATACGAAAACTCCAGGAGAATACCGACGAATTCGACCGAAACCCAATTTCCGCTCAGCTATCCAGACAGGTCAGCGACTTATCAGCAGCGGGTGCCAACCTCTTTCATGCAGTTGTCGAGCTGCAGAGGCTACGCGCCAGCTCCGAGAGAAAGTTCCAGCGCTGGTTCTTCGAAACACGGTCGGATATTGAGCGCCTGCAGGAGACGAACGCCATGCTCGAGAACGCCTTGGAAGAGGAACGGCGAAGTAGAACTGAAGCTGCCCGCCAAGCTCAGGAGCAGGAGCGCGAAACCGCGAAGACCCAGAAGTTGCTTGCAGAGATGCGGAAGGAGTTATTGATCTCGAAAGACGAGGCTCGTCGCGCGTGGGAAGAACTTGGTCGTCGGGAACAGGAAGAACGGGACCGGACACTTTCCCTTCAGCAGGGCCATCCAACAATAGTAGGCGGCGTCCAGGTCGTGCCGATGACACAAGGTGTTCCTAATCGCCAAGCGAGCACGCGGGATCATCAGAGGGCCCAATCCGATACTTCCGACTATGTCGCCGCTCCAAATCCCCAGTACCCTCAGTATACCCAAGGATCCGCTGCCCAACCGAACACGACTGCCGCTGCCCAACCAAGTGGCGCATATTACCAGCAACAACCCGGTACCTCTACGCAACAACCTGGAGATTATGGGGCCGGTTCAGGAGCAGGCTATGACGAAGGTGAGTTGCACTGGCGATATTGATGACCACTTTGTCAAAAATGTCGACGAGACAATATCCCTTACCCTAGCACCCCGCCCGGAAGCTCGCCAATCTGACCAGGCGACAGAGGATTTTGAAACCCCTACGTCGAATCCCGCAACTAATTATCCCCCATCGAGTTCGCAATACGGCGGCACGTACCCTGAATCATCCGGATATGGTGGACAAGGCTACGCAGCGCCTGGATGGGAAACGATGCCCCGACACCATCATCCAACAAGGTTAAGCGACGTGCTGGAAGAGGACGAACGTAGTCGCACTTCGGCAAGCCGAGTCAGCCAAGCGTGACAATGAACTGTCGCGCGGTCAACACACCGCACGACACACATATTCGGAACAGCATATTACCACTCACAACTTGTTCCTGTTTGGGTGATGTAGCCTGCTTAGGCTCTCGCAACTTTTGCTTCAATATTCGCTTCCGACTTCGGCGGAACATTGTCAGATTAACAGTATATATCCGTGTATCCATCGCTCGGTTTGATGGCGGAAGATACTTTGGGCATCGTCGGATGGCATGGCAGAAGAAATTCACGCAAGCCATGTCGATTCTTCGCTGTCATTGTATTAATGAGACGTATTCTCGCTTCTTGAGAGTTCAGCAGCATATGGCCAGATCTCCACACGATTCGTATAGCGTCTGACGTTCAGTGAGGGTCTGCAAGGCATTTGCAAAAGCAAAAGTCCTTGTCACCCATCAGAAGAGTACCTCTCGGTCCTGGAATTTGTGCAAGTTTATGATTGAAGGAAGATTAAAATTGGGAGGAGAGCAAAGAAGAAGGGGGGAGGAATGGACTTTTGTGATCGTTTACTGGCTTTTTGTAATGCATATGATGATGTTTATTCAGCGTGGAACAGATAGGGCCATGTAAAGCTGGTGTAGGATTTGAGGTGTAAAGGAGATTCAAGATGTAGGGCAGAAATATGAGGGTCTGTCTCAGTGTTTAGAACGGGAGGGGGCAACAGAAATGAACGGAGAGTGTAGAGTGCCATACCGCCATACTCGTGACACGTATGCGCGCGTGTTTTGCTTTGGGTCGTCTTTGCGATTTATTGCAGTTTCTTTTAGACGGGAAGGTGTAGTAGTACTGATGGGCCATGAAGAGGTGTTATAATTGCACGGGTGTTGTTGATACAACGGTTTTTTTTTGGGCGTTCAGCTTTGTTTTCCTCGATTGTATCGTCTTAACTCCGCATGTGGTCGGTCGCAAGTGGCCTGGTATGTTGAAGTTTGTAATAGACGGCAAAGGGCAAGAAAGGAGCAAAGGGTGACAAACAGACAAAGAGCTGGAATAGGACACAGGATGCAAGCAAAAATGGGAATGATATATCCTCGATGGAGGAGGCGTTGGGGAGTGCGAAAGCGTCAATATGGCGTAAGTTTTGGATCACGTCTATGGGCGGACTGCCTGTCGAGCTTCATAGAATGAAACAGAAGCAAAGAAATGAAGCGAGGCACTTGAAAGCAGATAAATAGACCAAGTAGCCGCGGTGGCGTTAAGACTAAGAAAATTCCACATATAATTCCACTTGGTTGTAACGTTGATGGGAATGGTGTGGATGAACCTTTAATGAACTGGAGACAATTCAGGACGGCTGGATGGACCTGAAGAGGATCAACTCTTCTTTGGGCTCTGGCCACCTCTAGGCTTGCCTGGCTGGCAGTACCTAGGTTATCAAATGACGTTACGATATCGGCAGCAGCACAAATGGGCGGCAAAGTCGTGGACCTTGTAGAGGTAGCCCAGCAGTGGTGCCTCTTAGGACATAAGATGATGGCTGATACCCGTCAGTCTGTCACATACCTGCCTTAAAAACAAAGGGATGTAGGGGTGGATGGGGAGCGAACCGGCTTACTGATGGGCATAAAGAGGACGTTTCAGCTTGCCTCTCTCATATCTGTCGTCCTATTTCTAACAGTCTCCCGAGAACACGTCAAGTGTCGCGCAGTGTTTGTTAGCTACCTCTAGGAGTCTAGATGCTTAAAAGCCAATCGTATCCCCGAACTCATCCACCTCCTGCCTTCTCATGTGGAAAAATAACAAGGCTTAGGAGTCACACAATCTGGTCGAGGCAGCTGATTCGGAGCCTTGTAAGACTTGGGCAGGTGGGTGTCCAGGGTGCCGGAAACGGTCAGCTCGCTGCTGATCTTGATCAGCGCACCCACTCAGTCAGTTCTGTCTCTTTGTGAGTTTCGAAGCGGACGGGAAGAGGAAGAGGAAGAGCTTAGGTCCCCTGTCGCTGTCACTTTCTTGGTGGGGCAGTTGACAGGAACACTGTCAGGAACATTTCTTGGCATGCAGCTGCGCTCCGGTGCTCACAGATGCACAATTCGAGCTCCGTACCTCGCCGGGTACCTTAGGTTGCACACACCTTGCCCCACCTAAATGATAAGATCAGGGTCCCGTCTGCCGGCGGCGGGCTTGCATTCGAAGGCCGCCGATGCCGGTCGATTTTGCCGGAAGCCCTCAATCATGGCGGGGATCGTGGATACCGGACGGGGACGGATGGGCTATCGTGAAACCCGACGCTCCATACGGGACGAAGAAGAATACTCCACTGAAGTCCATCCCAACCATGTGATGACGACATCTGTTTACTTGTGATTTATCCTCTACACCAGAATCGATTAGTATTTCCCGGCTCATACGATCAACTATTCCATACGTACCCCAAATTCGAGATCCATTGCGTCAGTTCAGTGCTATAAACATAATGAGGACTTCACGCATCCTGGGAAGTGCTTTCGCCCGACCAAACCTTAATGCTTTAACATCGTCGTTGCCCTTGCCCTCTCAAATATCCCGTCATATCTGTAGCGCGGCTTCCGGTTTACCGCGCGCAACGCAGAAGCATACACGAACTGCCCAATTTTCATCCTTGATAGGCAAGACTGGTGGCCTGAGCAGGAGTAACGGTCGAGAAGCTCGCACATACAACACCAAGAGCACGCCGAGCGAGGCACCTCCATTTGCCTTCGCCTTCGAGTAGGTCACTCCCCGGTACACCCACCTTGTTGTGTTACTCCGTCGTCTCTAACAATCCCCGAACTGCAGTATCGATGGCGTCCTCCTTCACGTCGCGACGCCCATCCCCGGCGCTCCCGAAGCCCTCAAGTTCCTGAACGACAACGACATCCCTTTCATTCTCCTCACCAACGGCGGTGGCAAGCACGAGACCGAACGAGTCAAAGACCTTAGCCAGAAGCTTGGTGTCGAGCTCACCACCGACAACTTTGTCCAATCGCACACGCCGTTTCGCCAGCTCGTTGAAGGGCCCGACAGCCTGCGGGAGAAGACCATCCTCGTGACAGGCGCCAATGCGGAGAAGTGTCGACTCATCGCCGAGGACTACGGCTTCCGCAACGTCGTCACGCCGGCCGACATCCTCAAAGCTCACCCGGAGGTCTTCCCTTTCGACCCGCTCCTCGACACCGTCTATACCGCTACTGCGCGCCCGCTGCCCAGGCCCATCTTCACGCCCGGGTCCGGCATGCGCCTGAGCGACGCGCTCAAGATCGACGCTATGTTCGTCTTCAACGACCCGCGCGACTGGGCCTACGACATCCAGCTCATCGTCGACCTGCTCCTCTCGCAGGAAGGTTACGTGGGCACGTACTCGCCCAAGAATGGCGACGCCGCTCTACCCTCGTGTGGCTGGCAGCAAGACGGGCAGCCGCCGCTGTACTTTAGCAACGCGGACCTGCTCTGGAGTACGGGATTCCACCTCCCGCGTTTCGGGCAGGGCGCGTTCCAGGCCGCCGTGGTGGGCGTCTGGCGGCGATTGACGAACGGCCATGAGCTGCAGCGGCGGGTGATTGGCAAGCCGTACAGCGAAACATATCAGTTTGCTGAGAGGGTGCTGACGACCCATAGGCACGAGGTACTGAGGCGCCGCGGCCACCATGAGCCTGGCACGCTGAAGAGCGTGTATATGGTGGGTGATAACCCGGAGAGCGACATCGCGGGGGCGAATGATTTTCAAAGTGAGGCTGGAACGGAGTGGTGTTCGATCTTGGTGCGGACGGGCGTGTGGAGCCCGGAGCATGCGGGGGAGAAGGCACTCCAGGGGAGATTCAAGCCAAAGGTCATTGTGGATGATGCGCGGGAGGCGGTCAGGTGGGCTTTGAAGAGAGAGGGTTGGACTGGTCCGGCGTTGTAGGGCTACAAGATGAGAGAGAATGATTTTGATTCAAGTTCAGCGCATTTCACGGCATCTACAGCACTTCTACAACATTTCAACCACGTATATACGTTTATCTAGAATCTACGAAAACCGAGAAGTTCCAAGCCCGGTCTCTTATCACTTCGGTCGAGTATCATCAGTTGTGCTAATTCACAATCAGATACGAGAACAATCTCCAAGGGAGGAGGACATCGACACTAACTTGGACCACTCGACGGCATCCTCCGCAGCACCGGATAGTCCCGCAGATTCATGACCACTATAACATTACGAGGTTCCGATCGACACAGTACAGTGCTTCCTCGGGACTATTTGGCATGGGACAGCATATCTTGTCAGTTTTGATCGACGTATCGGGCATTTATCTTTACACTACAGCCAGCCATCATCTGGTGTCATGTTAGTAACGTTCTTTGATCACTAACGACGTCCAACGTAGTGTTCTGCACATCTTTGACATCCGTCTCCCTTCGTTTGTCGTCTCTATGAGCTCCCTCGTGATTTATCACGTCCGTCCAGCTGCAGCAGCAGTGAGCCACTCTTCCAACCAAATGAACGAGAAGCCAACCCCAACGCAGCGCGTGGCCGGCGGTCAAAATGCGCAAATATGGTCAAAGAAACAAAATGGCAGAAAAATAGCAACTGTTTAGTGCGGCCATTTGGTGATTTCGATAAGATCACATGGCGGGCAAAGGGCCGTTATCAGCGCCATGTTGCAACGTCGAAACAAGAAAAAGAAAAGAGAAGGCGCAAGGAGAGATGATCTTTGTTGTGCACGACTCAACGCAGCGGAGGCCCTGACTGCAGATCCTCTTTCAGACGTCAAGTTTGCTCCCTTTTCCATCATCAAACATGCTATTCGAAATCGGTTTTCAAAAACAACCGCTGGGAAATCCCCTCGTACTTCCACTTTTGCATCATGCCAAGGCCAAGGGTTTTTATTGCACGACTCATGACAAGCCGTGACATAAGTCGATTTTTCGACCGATTTGCAGCATTCAAACTTCCGGAATCGAGCCGACTAGCCCTTGCTCCATGCACCCGCTCATCCCATCTGAGACGCCAACCCAAAGCTCCGGCTCAAAGCCGAGGAAGCAAATTCCCTCGTATGGATGGCAGTTTGACTTATCGCCTTGTATCATGAGGGTTCAGATTGAAGGGTAGGTTGCTGGGGAGATAAACCGAAACATATCGCAGAGAGGCGATTATTGTCTCAATGTTTGGGCAGCTTCTCATTCCATTGTCTCGGCCATCGGTGGCATTCATTCCCTTTTGTTGCACTAGCTATCACCACGGGTACCTTCAGATCGGGAGGTTAGATGCATCATCGCACCCTTTGTCGCTCTCTTTTGTGGCTCAGGAAGAACACATGATGGACTGTTTGGACCCTTTCCCGCCACAGCTTGAGGGCTTCCCGACGTGTGGACGTGCTTGGTAACGGGGGTACGGCAATCAATTCCCTATCACGTACAACACCACTCTCCTTCCAGCCCCGTCCTCCCTTGTTTGTCATATCACAAACAAAGTGCCACTTATGCCCTAATCCGACTTCAGCTTGGACCAACGACGTTTACGAGCCTCGAAGTGGCCAAAATAGAAATCCTGGGGATGGTTGGATGCATATTATACACAATAGGATAAGCTGGGGAGTCGATGCCGTGGTGACACGGAGTTGCCCGGGGCTACTGCTGCGTTCCAGTCGAAACCCCCATGAATTCAAGGTTCAGCCTGGACTGTCATGTGGCGTTCCAAGCGCTTGGTTCAGTAACGCGATGGTGCGATGTGGAGGACTTGAGCCGACTGGGTGGCTGAGGATGCGCTTCTTTCATTCCTTGTGGAAGGCTTTTGTTTTTGTTTGGATTCGTCCTTTCTCCCAGTGTTCCATGCAACAACGTCAAGTACATATACGCCTTGAGACTCTACCCACACCTGAAGGTGTGAGACTCAAGCGGATCGTCGACGTGAATCCCGCAGGATGCTTTAATCTCTTTGCTTCTTTATGGTATATCACTTACCACTTCCATGTCCGGATGAGTCCCAATTAATTTGTTTTACACATTGATAAACTTCCCGTCACCCTGCTCCAAGTTTGCTCACACTGATGCCTCTTTCCTGTCTTGTTTTACAGATACTCAAGGCATAAACAATGGACTTCCACAGCCAGCTTCCCGGCCGGGACCCGCGTCCAACCCTTCAAGTCATCACCACGTATCCTCCCCAGTCCCAAACATCAAACTACTCCTACCCCTTGTCAGGAACATCTCCGGGCCGCGAGTCTGTTGGGTCCGATATCTCATCTGTACCGAGCATGGTCGAAGACCAAGGCTCTGACATCTCTGCCGAGGAAGAATACCAGTATGACCACACCTCCAGGACCAGGGGGTCATGGAACTGTTTTTGGAACAACACTCGAGCACACGAAAAGGATCTCCAGACGACAAACACTTTAGCACGGCCCATTAGCCACCATGCTGGCAGATGCACAACCCCCAGCACACCGGAAAGGAAGAGGAGCAGCAGGCCAACTTTGACATCATCACGGCCGGATAGCGGCTTCGCCCAGGGGAACAACCAATGGCCTCTGACTCCTCCATATACCAGTCACAGTCACCAGGTGCCTCGGACATTCAACAAGCCCCTTCCCTCACCAACTTACTCACTCTTCCCGCCAACGCCGTCATCTGCTGATAGCAACTCTTCTTCGGTGCCGCCACCAGGGAGACCATCTTTCCCCCGGCCATGGACCTCGGACACCTTACGGCTGGAGCAAATCCCACCACCACCACGATCCCCAGTAGTGATGCGCAGGAAGTCGGGCTTCGGTAGGAAAAGGAAACTGGGGGGCGAGCCGCTGGCTGTGACCGTCAGTCCACATAACACCAAGTCGCCAACGACCTCAACATCAGCAAGCCTGGTCTTCCGGGCAAGGCCATCCATCATCCCTGTCCCCTCTTCCACAGGCAATTTCTCGCAGCAGTTGGCTCCTACAACCTACCAGACGGAGCAGTCCTCTCTCTACCTTCAACCTCCCTACCTCACCCCAATCGATTTCCGCCGCCCATCCCCCACCAATCTGCATCGCAATTCCTGCAGTGGTGCCTGCCCCAGACCTCTTAGCAGCAGGGACCAGCACCAACAACAGATAAGGACACATCAACAACAAGAAATAAAAGAGCGACCTCTGCCCTTTCTCCCCCTTCCCGTCCAACCACAACAACGACCTCCTCGATCATCACCTCCTTCGCCAGTAGTTTTCCCAGCACCTCCAACATCACCACTGCCACCTCTGCAACCACCACCACCACCACCACCGTCGCCGCCACCACCACCTCCTCCTCCTCCTCCTCCTCCTCCTCCTCCTCCTCCTCCTGCTGCTGCTGTTGCTGTTCCTCTTCCACCTGTCGTCTCAGTTTTCGAAACCGACTCGGACGATGAAGAGGTCGACTCAGACACTGGATCAGACGAGCACAATCATTTCGGTGCTGCTGGAGGGGTTGTGGAAAGCTTCGCAAGGCGGCTTATGAGGAGTTTATTCGGAGCCCAAGGGCGGCACCATTACCGTCACGACACAGATCGTCAGACCCAAAAAAGCCATCATCATCATCATCAGCGGAGTACTAGTGATTATACTCGCAGTGCGGCAACCACAACAACAACAACAACCACAACACTGTTTCACAAGGCTATTCACCTGAGGCGACCACGGTCTGATGGGGGCGGCAACCAGAGTCCACAGCTCGGGGCGGTGATGGAGGAGGCTGAACACGGATATAGAAAGAGTTGTAGCAATGCCAGTGAGTGCGAGACTGGGAGTAGCGCGAAGCAAAATGTTTTGGGAAGACGCGGGAGGTTTTGGGGGAGGAATGGTAGTCGATCGTGACTTTGGTGTTAGATACAAGTGACTGTCGTGGTCAGTTGGTGACATATCATCTGGGGAGGTCCTGAAAAGACGGCGGGAGGTTTTATGGTTCTTGTTGATATACATTTTGGGAGTTGATATGGTTTGGACATATTGATGGATGGATGGAGTTGGCGCAATGGGTAGGGTGTATACAGGACATCGGAGGGGATCGGGTTTACATACCTAGGTAGGTAGGCACTTGCCTACAACACATACATAATTCGCCCATTGTCACTTGGGCAACATCAATTTTACATATGATTATCTATCCACAGTGAACTTCATCTGCTTCTTTGATATCTTGATTTTTGTTTGTGTGCTGTGCTCAGTTTAGTCTTCATCATCATTGTCGTACAACTCAAATCAAAAGAAATAAAAGACGCGCTCGGATGTGTGGAAATGTAGCTGATGCTTGTGTTAAACGCTGACAATGCACTCACGAGAAAGGAGTGACGTATCGGCCCCGAACGTATCTTTGGTATGGATATCCAAAAGGTTGGATGAGAGAAGGATTGAGCCAACGTACACATTAAGTAACGACGTAGTGCAGTCGGTCATCATATCTTGCGGTGCCTCACGAGTACCAACTGAGTTCCTTTCGGTAGGACGGCTGATCATCGGATACCAAGAATTGTCTGTGTAACGCGTATATTGCGGTACTCTCTCTTTCTTTCTTCTCGATCCTCGATGCAGTGTTTTGGAGAAACTCTCGGTTTCCCACATGTCTTCAGCTCCTTCCTCTTGTCAATACATACAGAGAGACGGAGAAAGCATAGGGCATTACCGCAGCAGCTGTTGATACTCTGCTGCGTACAACCAAACCCTGGATGGTGGCGCTCTCGGCGGACTTCAAAAAAAAAAAAAAAAAAAAAAAAACGAAAAAAACCGGGTAAAAAAAAGGAACAGTGAACAGCGACGGACCACGTTGAGGAAAGATGCTGAGTGGACTGAGTTGGGCAACATAGGTATATTAGCCAGATCTTGGGCGTCAGTCAATAAATTTAAAGCTGATGCTATTTTGGTGATTGAGCGGTCTCGGCCACTATCGTCTCGGTCATGTTGGTGTGGTACAGCCGTATCTGCGGACGAAGCCAAGACACCCACCGTCCTCAGAGGAGTGATGTTTGGAGGCATCGACCTGATTCACAAACGGTTTTTGGAAGTTTGTCCTGCTTTTCCCGTTTTGATGTATGCATTCAAAAAAAAAAAAAAAAAAAAAAAAAAAAAAAAAAAAAAAAAAAAAAAAAAACCGACTTTCTTTGATAACGATGGAGAGAGAGAGAGCGGTACCTGGTGCCAATGATTTGTCACATGGCTCGTTGGAAACTCGACACCCCAACAGAGCTTATCGGACGAAGAGAAGAGTAACTCGCTCGGCACTCGCAAGATAGTAGTAGCCGACCAGACTGCCCTGCCTGCACAACACACAGTACGAAATTTTGGGATTGGTTCAGGAGAAGCGAAGGATAGGTCATTTGCTGGTTATCGTTCATGATATGTAGACAACATCATTTGGCGTCTCGGCGGCGTGATGGAATGGAAAATGAGGGGGGTGGACCTGGGCAAGAATGCAGCGTCAGTGGTAGGGGTGGGTGGTTGAGAACCAAGACACAAGCTGAGATGTCGTGGATGCTTGGAATTGACTTGGAAGGGGTACAGTCATGAAGTTGTTCCAGAGATAAAAGAAACGTCTGAGATTGGTTCTGGAGGCTCGGCGCAGGTCTTGACCGTCCGTCTTGGACGAGGGCGTTGGGAGGTACTTTGTACTATCGAGGCCATATCTCGAGATTGCGTGTTCCGAGTGCCGGCGGTTCTAGGTGGACGATGCCTGCCGAGAGATTGGAGATGAGATGGAATCCCGCTCAAAGGCTGGGCAACCACAGGGCATCTGCGGGGCGGATAGAGACGGGCAGTTCCTTCTCAGTGTATTATTTCCTCAGACCCCGAACGGTGGAGACTTCCCACTGGTTGTCGCTCCCTGTAGCGGGAGTAGACTGTTCTTTTCCATGTCCCAACTTGGCTTGAATCAAGGACATTCCATCTCATTTTCACATTCCATTACATACCTTACATCTTTCACCTAGGACTTCGTGGTAACATTCCCGATCCCATCACGACGATGTAATGGGCCCGGGCTAGTGGCCCGCATTTTTTAAGCATTTGCATGCCCGCCGTCGGCCGTCGCCTAGTCAAGCACTAGCTTGAACCCATCCCCACCATCATGGCCACTGGACCACTCAGAAACCACGGAGAAACGGTGGCACGAACGGTACACTTGCCGGGATCGATCCTACGAACCTACCAGATTCCCCAGAAACGAGAGGCAGCGAAATTGATGAGAAAGTGGCAAGCCGTCCTCCTCAGAACTGCTGCGCCATATCGCCCCAGTTGGCGGAGATGATGCGAGGCAACTCTGTTTTCCGCTGCTTCGCCGGCGCTGTCTGAGACTCTGAGTGCTATCTGTGTAGCCACTGCTTGCCTGTTGATTCAACAAGGCCAAAGAGCCACTGGTGCAGGACAGAACAGCAGCTGAAGAATCAATGTTAGGTATATATTTTTCAGCAACGAGACACAGGGGCAGCTATCAATACGAAGGCGGCGCCGTCAGAGTGCAACATTGCCATTTTGCTCTACTTCAAACACTGCTACCAGCAATGGGACGGATCAAAAGGTCCTTCATCGGCCTTATCAAACGAAACGCTATCCGCACATCAAGAGCCGACTTTGTAAAGTCACCATGTGTTTCGCGGAATCCATGGGCCCATGATATTCGAACAACATCGCCGTTCACAGACTGCTAGTATCGGTCCCAGTACCCATTCGAACAATTGATCCATATTCCCCATAATGATCGCCGAGGTGAAGTTTGGACAATCATTCCAGCCAGTCAGCACCCGCCCAGCGACGGGGACCAGAGTGCGAAGCGGAAAACGCTCACGCCAGCCTTCTCCTCCATCGTCACCCTCTGCCCTGAGCCTCTTTACCCATCGAGCCCATGTGGTTGCCCCCGCTTCAAGATACCCTCAACCCCTGTCGGTCTCGCTTGAACCCACCCTGTAGTTGCCCTTCGCAGGCCCTCGGGGCCCATTTAGGCAGGTCATCACTGGCTGGGGCTGCATCTTCCGCCATGGCTAGTGCTTCCAGAAACGGTACAGTTCGATATCATGCATTGCCCCTCCCACATTTTCAACCGCAACTAGTGTACTGTACTGGCTCCCAGCACTGCCCTGGCCGACAAGCAAGTGAAGAAAGAGGTGTGGTGGTGCCCTGAGGTGGTGGTGGTGGTGGTGGCCCTGGTGGTGGTGTTGACCGTGTGAGCCGTGGTAGCCCCGGCACACAGTCACCCACTGGACATCCACGCACCCACGACATATCTACACAGTATCTTCACACCACGCTAGTCCATGCCACAATGAGGTGCGAAAGGCCAAGACTTCGACCGGTCTGAGAGAGGTCCAAAAGAGGGCTAGAGAGACGAGCCAAAGAGAACCCGGGACTGGTCCAGAGACCGGCCTGGCGTGAACTCGGAACCCACATTTTTGCTATCTCCCTATCATCTCATCCGTCTCTCCTTTCATCGTCGTCTCCCTCAGTCGACATTCCATTTACAACACTTTTCCTCCGTCATAACCCTTTTGGATTCTTACCTCTTCGACTCACATCGTAGCCTTATGTTCTAAACGTCGACGGTCGCTGGAGTCGAGGCAGCGATGTTTACGCTTCGATCAGCTTACTAACCATCCAGCTGTCAAGTTTTATCCGTCGCTTTACGGAATTGCCCCATCAGATCGGCACGAACCCGATCGTGTTCCCGCTTTGCTTTCCCGGCTTGGTTGCATGGGAGGCATAGCGAACCACGCTTTTGCTCCAAAATGCTTCGCAATTTTTTTCGACGACGGCACGGCGATGAGGATGTTATGCCGGATATGGTAGACGATGGATCGCTGGAAGGTGACTCGACTGGCATTGAGGCCTTGACTGCACTGAAGCGGTTCGAAAAGATGCATCGCCTGGACCCAAACCTACCATTGGACGAGCTGGACGAGGTCGAAACGGCTTTGAATAGCGCAAACATCGAGAAAGGAACCGAGATCGACCAAATATTGGCTGAAGACAATTCCCCATATCCAGAAGTGAGATATCCCGCTTCATCGCTCTGCGTGTCATGATCAACACCGATTTGGATTCTCTCTAACACCGACTTCAAAAGGTTCGAGCTTCAGTACGAAATTACGATGTCGAGATGCCCGTCAACACCATCCGGGCCTGGACTATCGGCGTGTTGCTTTGCACTATCGGTTCCGCTGTCAATATGCTTCTCTCGCTGCGAAACCCTAGCATCTCGTTGTCGACTTTGGCTATCCAACTCATAGCATACCCCATCGGCCTGGGCTGGGATCTCATCTTCCCCGACCGTGTTTTCACCGTATTCGGCATCAAGTTCAACCTCAAACCCGGACCTTTCAACTTCAAGGAACATGTCATCATTGTTGTCATGTCCAATGTACGTCTGACCTTCTGTTATGTTAAGCCAGCCGCTAACTTCTTCTTCCTTAGGCTGCGTATGGCGGTGGTGCTTTGTATGCTACTGATGTCATTCTTGCTCAGGAGATCTGGTACAAACAGTCATTCGGCTGGGCCTGGCAAATCCTCTTCGGCATCTCGACGCTCTGCACTGGCTATGGGCTTGCCGGTTTGGCAAGAAGGTTCTTGGTTTGGCCCGCTGCCATGATATGGCCCGCGGATCTCATCAACTGCACACTCTTCTACACCCTCCACGATCACTCGCCCTCGGATCCGGCAAGGACAAATGGTTGGTCAATTAGCCGATACCGATGGTTCTTGATTGTCATGGCTGGATCATTTGCGTGGTACTGGTTTCCTGGCTATCTTTTTCAGGGACTATCTTGGATGTGCTGGATTACCTGGATCTGGCCCGACAACGTCATTGTCAATCAGCTGTTTGGCGGACAAAGTGGATATGGGCTATTCCCTATCACTCTTGTGAGTGGTTTAAAATGACTGGGCGAGATCAGTTTCGTGTGCTGACTCTCTTTAGGATTGGTCTATCATCTCTGGATATCTCCTGTCACCCCTCGCGTCGCCATTTCATGCGATCGCCAACGTCGTCGGCGGTGTCACGTTTTTCTTCGTTATTGTCTCCCTTGGAATCCAATATTCGAATATATGGTACTCAGCTTATTTGCCAGTCCAAGAGTCGCACTCGTACGACAACACCGGAAAGAGGTACGACGTTTTGCGCATTCTTAACGAAAACCTGCATTTCGACGAGGCCAAGTACCACACATACTCGCCGCTTTACCTCCCCACCCAGTTTGCCCTTGCATACGGGCTGTCTTTTGCAGCTGTCGCAGCCGTCATTGTTCATGTTGGCCTCTATAACGGCAAGGACATCTGGAATCAGTGGAAGTTGGCCCGCCATCAAGAAGACGATGTCCACATGCGCCTCATGAAGAAATACCGTGACGCCGAGGATTGGTGGTATATCATCCTATTTGCCGTCATGCTTGGTATGTCCTTTGCCGTGGTGTGCGCCTGGGACACCGGCTTCCCATGGTGGGCGTTTATCATCTGCATATTGATTCCGGTGGTGTGGACCATTCCGATCGGAATCATTCAGGCCATTACCAATATTCAATTAGGACTGAACGTCTTGACAGAGTATGTCATCGGCTACATGCTCCCCGGCCGCCCCTTGGTCATGATGATGTTCAAGAACTACGGTTATCTCGTCATGTCGCAGGCGCTCTATTTCATTCAGGATCTCAAGCTCGGCCATTACATGAAGGTGCCACCTCGTGTCATGTTTTGGTCCCAGCTGATAGCTTCGGTTTGGTCCGCCATTGTCCAGATCGCCGTCATGAACTGGGCGCTCGGGGCAATTCCCGATATTTGCACAGACGGCCAGGCCAACCAATTCGATTGCCCCAGTGCCAAGGTATTTTTCACTGCATCCGTCATTTGGGGTGCGATTGGACCGGCCCGCATGTTCTCCGGTAAAGCACTGTATAGCTCTTTACAGTGGTTTTGGCTCGTTGGTGCCGTTGCTCCCGTGATTTCGTGGTTTTTCGTTCGACGGTATCCGCGCTCGCTTTGGCGCTATGTCAACTTCCCGTTGGTGTTTGGCGGTTCAGGCTGGATTCCGCCCGCAACTGTTTACATCTACTACTGCTGGGGCATGGTCGGCACTGTTTTCAACTTTTTCATTCGCCGTCGGAAGACGGGTTGGTGGCTGCAGTACAACTACCTCACCTCGGCCGCCCTTGACGTTGGCCTTTTGCTGTCGACTCTCGTTATTTTCTTTACCCTTACACTATCACACACCAAAGCGCCAGAATGGTTTGGCAACACAGTTGCTAAGAGCACCATGGATACGACCGCCAAAGCGGTACAGAAACTCGTTCCGCCAGGAGAGATCTTTGGACCTCGCGAATGGCCATAGTCGCAAGTCACGAGTCATAGCGAGGGGTCGGACGAGACAGGAGGAGTTTTGGAGTTTGGTTTAGGTATTTTTTCTCGACGGAGTCTATGATTTGGGATACCTTCGGGATTGGCGGCAACTTCTTGGGATTTTGGTTATGAACGGAAATTGACAGGCACAGCCGGCACATGTATGCCGCGCACAACATGAAGGGGTTTTTTGACATTTACAGGATATTGGCTTATGTGAAGGGGCTTACTCTCGTGGGTGTCCATGGCCTTCGTATGGTTCACGGAATATTATGTAGCATTTTCGGGTTTTCGGCGAGGAGATTGAGGACGTCCCGTGCTATGTGTCCTCGATAGGGACCTGCGCAAAGCTTGGGGGCTTGGGTTATGACGATACGCATATATCTCTCAACGCTGCGGTGCGATAAGTAATGATGTATTCCATGGAAATGTCTGACGGTTGACATATACCTGCACCGGTCTGCTGATGCGCTGCCTTCCCGCTTCCAGTATCCATGAGCATCATGACAAATGTGGGTTCTCTACCGCCAAACTCTCTACCGGACTAATCATCCTCTTTCCTTGCAGTGTCTGTACCAGTCATATATGGTTACCAATGGAAATAACAGCAAACCTTTCAACTTGTTCTTTGACATGACTGACCGGTCTTGATGATCGTCAACCCATGAAGCCATTCCGTACGTCGGTAGTATTGCAACCAAGTCGACCATGGGTTTGCGTCACTTCTCAGTCGACGGAAGGCATCTTCCCCCAATTCAGTGTTTCCCAACGCTCTGATTGATCTTCTTTTCGAAACACGCAATTCCGGACTCCGTTCGCTTCGTATGTACCTACGGCATCCGACTTTTCGATTCTGTCGGATTTCGATTATTGAACGCGAACTGTAAGCTCTTACTATCCCGCAAGGTTCTCACCCATGTGTGACTAAGAGGCTGTACAGGAAGGAGGTACCCTGATCATACAGGATAAGCGGTGTGCCACCAGATGCCATTTCACGCTTCAGTCGATCCCGCCGTCTTCGAGCTGCCCTGCTAAGGATATCGCAAGAAAGAATTATGCATGGCAGGCACCATCGCTGATGTCTCTTGAAGACCTGCTCCTTCCTTCTTTCTCCTCCTCTGCATTCAAAAATGAACTATCTCCCAATATGTGAGCCCCATTCCCCTGGATATCACCTCAGTCAGGGCATCGACGACCTGGGAAGGGCTGTATCTAGTTATTTCTTTGTTCAGGTTGTCGGGGATTAAAAAGAGGCCGTTATCCCGGGTAATCCCATCCCTTGCTCAGGAACAAACATCGTTTTGTTTCTCTCTCTCTCTCTTTTCGTATTTCGACAACAACCACCTCGATTCGGTCGTTCGTTCTTCTGAACGCCGCTGCTCTTTCTTTGAAAAATCTTGAGGCAGACACACAGAAAAATCACCACTTCCCCATAAGTATTTGTGTCACGTCAGCAAGACAGTGATCCCACCGCAAGGTGACAGACACTCTCTAGTAGAAGCAAGAAAACTGCTCTACACGTTACAGACACTGGATCTGTTATTACGAAGCAGTCATCTTCAAACACCACGGCCTCGGACATCATCTTTCTCAGCCCGTCACTGATATACTCCACCTGTCAGTCGGTTACCGACAACCACACACACAATCACTCACCCTCAAACACCTGCAAACTTCCACGTTTTGTTTCAGACCAAGCTCTTTATTTCCATCAACCAGCCAGTTAAGTCAGCCTGTCTGCTCGAAGACACCTACTCGAGATACACAAGTCACATTCACTGCACAAACTTTCACCCTGTTCTTCGAGTCTTCGACCGGCAAAATCCCAGCCCAGCCCAACATCTCACCATCCGGCCGCCCATCAAAACCATGCCCAGAGGCCGCGGTTCAGGTTATGACTTCCCAAAGCCGATTGGCGCCTGTCCGCCGCCGAAGCCTTCATCCGGTGTTATTGGTACTGGTGTTTTGAAAGGCGGCAGTAATGATGGTAGTGATGGGAGGGATAAGGAGAAGGGTACTGGCGGTAGTGGAAGTCACGGTGGAAGTGGATCGAAATAGTAGTGGTGGGGAGAATGAAGATGACGTGCTTATGTATCGGTGATGTAGGGGGTTTCTAAGGGAAAGGGGATTGTGACAAATGCAAGGCATGACGGAGAATCTGTGGGAAGATAACAAAGGAAGTGTGTTTGTAGCCAGAAATTTAGTAACTGAGAGGGACAGTTGGTAAGGGTAATCTGCCTTTTATCCCGAGGAAGATAGATAATGATGGGGATGAGGTTATGGTTTGCTTTATAATATTTTTCTGTGCATTGGTCAATGTCAGCTCTATGATCGACGGCCTGATGGAGATGTGTGACAGTCAAGACAAAGGTGATACGGAGGATATTTGGATTCATAGAGATGCTCGCCTCCAATATAGATCCTGGCACGAAAAAAAGAACAAAAATGCTGGAGTATAGAGATTTATACAAATTCACCATCTCTTACTAAAATTCGTCGTTTCATCTCTCCTCGGACCATTTCCGTCGTCTCGTCATCATATACACGTTCCGGGCATTCGTGCCTTCCAAACTCGCGCTTTCACTACCACCCTCTTTTCCCCTCCCAGTACTAGAGGTACCTTTCCCTATCAGCTCTCCCTATCATTTCCCCCCATTCCCGCTGCCGCCCTCATCCCCCTTCTCATCCCCCTCCCCTTTCCCTATCCTAGGCTCATCAACCTTAACCCCCACCGCACCATCCCTATTAGCCCTCCACACCCCTCCCCCCTCGCCACCAAACTCCTCCCGCTTCCACACCTCCACTTTGGCTTTACACTCCTCCAACGCCTCTTCCCCCGCCCTCCATGCCGCCTGTCTGTGCGGAGATGATACAGCGATCAAGATACTTTCCTCTCCGATGGGGACCACACCTAACCTGTGTACCATCGCTATCCCCTTCAACCCGTGCTTGGTGAGAATGGAGCGGCATATGGTTAACATGGTGCGCAAAGCTAGGGGCGCATAGGAGGTATAGGAGAGGTGCTGGACAGGGAGGGAGTTGAAGTTGTTACGGGTGGTGCCTTGGGTGGGTTGTGTTAGTTGATGGGTTTTAATGGGATGAGAGGATGGAATTAAGCGGGAATAGAAGTGGGGGAGGAGGAGGAGGAGGAGGAGGAGGGATGAACGAACCAGCAAAGATGACAATGGCCCCTGCTTCTGGGGAGCGGACTCGGTCTGTAACGAATTGGTAGTTGAGGTGGTCGTGGGTGAGGGCTACGTAGATGCCGGGTTCTGAGATCTCGGTGGGTTTTGCTGGGTTTGTTTGTGGCGGTTGAGCTTGAGCCCCATCATCGGTTTGGGTTGGTTGTTGAGTTGCCATGCTTGATGACTAGAGTCTTGATGAGGCGTGAGATGTTTGACTTTCTGGTGGTGTCCTAAGCTGTAGGCTTCAAGCATGAATCTGTTGAGTCAGGGAGTGGTTATTGTCGTGAGCTATGTGGAGTGAGAACTGGTGAGTTGGTAGATGTGGACTGGATGTGTGAAGCGAGAGCAAGATGTGATATGAACGGTCTTCCTGAGTAAGTATTAGGTATATATCAAGTTAGATGTTAGTCAGTGGTGGACATCAATGTTGTAGTCCACTTCGTTCCTTGTACCTCTTAGGTGGGACTTGGCGGAGCATAGTGTAAGATACGGTTACGCATGCCGTAAGTTACCCGATAAGATAACGAGCGGGAAGCCATTGTTCGTTACCTACAATCATCGAGCTCTCGCAACTTCTCGCAATTGCCATTCACCAACCACAGAGAGAACTGGAAGCTTTCCATCACTTGACGGAAGATTTCATTTTCGCAACGCGCAACCTCAGTTTATAAGAAAATCATCCGATCGCAGAACGCTTTCAAGATACGCGCGTCAAGCAACCCACCATTCGCGCTTCTCATGAACCCGCGCCGCAATGCCTGAGGATTACGCTTCCAGGGCGCGCGACACAGGTGGCTACCGTCGTCGCAGTCGTAGTCCACCACCAGCATACTCGCGCCTACCGGGCTCGAACGATCTGAGACCAAAAGACGGCGAGTACTACCGGTCGAGAGAGGGTAAAACCTGAACAAGCCTGGACGATGGCCATTTTTGTGCCTACTACAAGTTGCTGCCGAGCTTGCCATGGCTAACTTTGGTTGTGTCTGACACGTAAACAAGATGCTCTAAGTCCGTCAAGAAGCCTCAACTACGACAATGACGGCGAATATCGCGAAGGCGGCGGAGACAATGACGGAGATAGAGGCAGGCCAGACAGAGGAGGTGGTAACAGATACGGCGGCGCTCATCGGGGAGACTGGGGCAGACACGGCGGCGGTGATGGTGGTGGTGGTGGTGGAGGAAGACACTACGACGTCGACGATTACCGAGGACGTGGTCGAGGGACAAGTCCAAGCGGTCGCCATAACGGAGGGTATAGGGAAGGTCAATCTTCCAGGCGACACAACGATGCGCCCGCGCCCGCGCCTGGAGGCAAGATTATAGTTCTCCAAGGTATTCCAGAGGACGCCACCGAACGCGATGTGAGTCTACCCCCGTATTTATGCATTCACCGTGTAGCTTTACAGAGATCCTAAAACTCATTCTTTGAACCCTTACAGGTTCTCTACGGCCTCAATCTCGTCACTCAAGATCCGCACATGTCTACCGACCAGATCAAGATCGTTCGATTCCGATACGACAGCGCCGGCCGCCGCCTTGCGGTCGTCGAGTTCAAACGACGCGCGGATGCAGAGACCTTCATGGAACAGTATCATCCCGATGTATCGTTCCCTCTCGAGCACACCCGTGGTGCCAACTCGGAATATATTACCCTGGATATCTTCTTCGAAAGGAATCGTAGTGACATGGACGACTTTCGTGGAGACGATGAGGACTGGGACTGCTTCAAGTGCGGTGCAGTTAACTTCTCATACCGTGCTGCGTGTTTCAAATGCAAGACAGAGAGATCTGGTAGGTTTTCGTCCCGTTTTGCTTGTCCTGGCAGACTGTTAACTAACGGGCGCAGATGATGCCAGTTACGGCTACGGTTATGGGGGCCCATCAGCGGGTCCTCTCCTAACAGGAGAAACCGACGAAGATCCTCAGCAAATGCCGTCACAGTATCTCGTAATCAGAGGTCTGGAGGCGTCAGTGACCGAGGAAGTTCTCGCCAGGGGCGTCATGAAGCTGTTCCGCGAAGAGACGACAAAGGCGCCTACCGGTACCCACAAATTGAAGTCGACAGCGCCGGGCAGCAACACTGCAAATCTGGGCGCAAAACCCGGTAGTCTACGCCGCGTCTTTCTGATACGGAACCGGAAGAGCAATGAGTCGTGGAGATATGGTTTTGCCGAGTTTGCGACGGTTGAAGACACCAAGAGTGCAGTCGCAAAATTTCGCAATTCCCCTAGGTTCACAATTGCGTCCAGAGCGGTTGTTGTTTCGTTCATTCACACGGGTGTCTTCATTCCGGCCTTTGAGGTTGGCCCGGACGAGGATCCACGCTTTTCCTTCCAGCCCATTTACAACCCTACTATTCGATTAAAGTACTGGGACGAACGTGTTTATCCTAGCATCCATGTTGTCTCGGTTGAACCTAAATCTGAGCCTGAAGGCGCAGACAAGTCTTCCTACCAGAAAGATGGCAGCGCTACGGACAATCCTCTTACCCGTCAGGCTAGCCTTTTGAAGAAATTCAAGAAGAAAGAGCCTGCTCCTGGCGAGAAGGGCATCGCAATGGCGCCTCAAATGCAGATGTGGGCAAAGAAGGCAGCGGAACTACATGGAAAGAAGCTGGCTGCTGCTGGAGGGGGTTTGGGTACTGCAGGATTGGAGGCGGACGACGAGGACCAAGAGCCAGATGGACCTTTGAATCCCCACTGGACTGATCAGTACCTCTCATATGCCGACTGGGACCGCATGATATGCCTTCTTTGCAACTGGAAGGTCCCTTCGCAAGAAACCATCAACAATCACGGACACATCCCCTACACACGGGAGGACCTCCTCATCAGCCACGAAGTTATCGTTCACAACCACTTTAAAGACCCAGAAACCAAAGAAAAGGCCGCCGCCAAGCTCGTCTCGCTCGGTAACGAGCCCCGATCCATCGCCCGCCGCACCCCTCGCCTCAAGCACGACGCCCCGCCTGTCTACACTTCGTACGCCGACTTCGACGCCCTCTACTGCCACCTCTGCCACCGCGCCTTCAAGCACGCTGAAACTGTATGGCGCCACGAGCAGGAAAGCGAGCTGCACAAGCGCATGCTTTCCGACGCTCAGGCCAAGGAGCGCGCCGTCGCCGAGTTGGCCGCAAAGGGCAAGGTGCTGCTCACTATGGTCCCCGATAAGAAGCTCCGTCGGGAGGAACAGCGCACGCAGCGGTACCGCGACAGGGCAATGGAACGCCGGCAGGCATTCCTGCAGCCCAACAAGCCAGGTGGTCAATTGTCGAAGCAAATGCTTGCTGGGCTAGGCGCATCCGTTTCTGCTGGTGGAGACAAGCGCAAGGAACAGCAACAGCAACAACAACTACAGCATGCAGCTGATGATGAGGCGGCAGCAGCAGCGAAGAAGTCCAAGGGCGCGGGCATGTTAGCCAAGATGGGCTGGACTACTGGCGCAGGTCTGGGTGCTGAAGGCACGGGACGCACACAGGCCATCGCGACGGAGGCGTATGCGCCTGGTGTTGGACTGGGTGCGGAGGGAGGCAAGTTGGGCGATGCGAGTGAGGAGGCAGCGAGGAGGACGAAGGGGCAATTTTCGGACTTTGTGGAGAAGACAAGGGATAAGGCTAGAGAGAGATTCGAGAAGTTGCAGGAGTAATAGCTTGCGGTGTAGTTCATGAACGACTATGGGGGTCCCGCCGCTAGCCGGCTCTTCAGTTGCTCAACAATTAGTTCACTTGCTTGAATGACATTTTATACCCGGATGAATGACAACCAATTTTTCTCATGTTCTTATTTGTCATAACAACCCATTACCATCTAGCCGTAATAGAGAATAAGATTATTTGATTAAGTTTCCTGATGCAGTAGTAGCATATTTTGCGCTGGTAGTCATGTACAGTAACCGCTATTTACGCTACCATTGACCGCCCTTTATATCCAAGGTAAGCGGTATGTAAGTGATTGATCCTATATTCCAGATCACAACCGTCGTATATATTTGCCGTGCAAGATATGTCCACCTTAGTGGAGGTTGTGTATGCAACTACAGGGCAACAACCGCGCCTCCAACAAGGGCAAGGAAGCCCATGAGCGACGCAACGGCCAAAGCACCAACAGCACCTCCCCTTGCACTTAACCCGGCCGCGGCGCTATCCGTCTCCTTGGCCCCCGAAGCAGCCGTCCCCGTAGCAGCAGTCGACCCAGCAGTGACAGTCTCCGTCTCCTTGGCGCCGCCGTCCTTATCCGTAGAAGAACCCGATCCGGATTCCGCATTATTGCCCGATGGATCACTGCTTGTCTGCTGCTCCTTCACACCCGTCAATCCACTCGGCAACCCGCCATCCGCCCCGCTAAGCTCGACAATATCGGTCGTCGTGCTGTTCAGGTTCGCCTGCGCGATGCCGATCTGGTGGTGCGTGAGGTCGTACACAACATAGGCAGACCGCAGAAAGGTCTCACCGAGGAGGGCCCAGTCCTCATCGAAGTTGTCCTCTTGGAAGCCGGCGGTGCTCTGGATGCCGAAGATGCAGGCGTTCTTGAAGGGCATCTTGAAGGGGAGCTCGGATTGGGTCTCGCCTAGCAGGTCGAGGACGAGTTCCCAAACGGGCACGGAGATGGTGGCGTTGGAGCCAAAGGTAAAAGACAAACGCAGGTCCGGGTTGGAGGTGAGGTACTGGCAGTCGATGAAAGTCAGGCCGGTCCAGATCTCGTCGACGTAGACGGATAGTTTGGTGTGGATCTGGTCGGTGATCTTGGAGGGCAGGTAGGAGAGGGTGGTGCCGGAATCGAGGATGGCGATGGTCGAGGTCTGGCTGAGGGACGGGTCGGTGGAGATGATCTTGGTGGTCTTGCCGTTCTTGGTCAGGGCGAGCGAGACACTCTGCATCTCGACTTCAAAGTGGATGGGCTCGGCTTGCCCCTTGGCCAGGTAAATGGGCAGGATCGACAGGTCGCCAATGAACTTGTCCTTGTCGATGCCGCCAAAGAGAATGCTACCCGTGTCGCTGCGGCGGTCGTTGAGGTAGAGAGAGTAGGCCTTGGTGGTGATGAGCTTTTGCGCGACGAACTGGTCAATCAGGTTGGGGTAGCGTTGAGTGGAAGCCACGTTGGAGGAGTAGCCCACGCCCAAGATGCCGGCGCCGCGGACGGTCTTGGTCGCATAGCCCATCTGCAGAGACTTGATCGTGGTTCCGCCAATATTGAGGTCGTCCGTAATGTAATCACCCGCGGCAGTGCTATTGTCGAGGTAACGGATCTCGAAGCTATCCTCCTCTAGGACCTTGTACGAAGAGCTCTTGGTCGGGTTGTAGGTCTTATCGCACGAATCCCCCCATTGCCGCTGAATTGAAGGGTCGGTGCATAAATCCGCCTTGTAGCTCACAACCCACAGGTCGCTGCTTCCCGTATCCAACACAACGCTGACTTTCTGGCCCGGAGTGCCCACAGTGACCTCGGCATAATAAGCACCGCCGGTAATGTTGTTGATCAGGGCCTGGCTGTAGGTGTCGCGCTTGACGTTCTGGCGCACGTTGCCGACCCTGAAGTGAGGCACGCCTCTGTTGAGAGGGAAGTTGACGACACCATTCTCGGCAACGGCTACTGAGGCCAGGGCCAGCAGAGTGGCCAAGGTAGATTTCATAGCAGCAATGACCCCTTTTCCAACGGCACAGGATGCTGTGGGAAGTTGAGACGGAAGCGAAAGGGGGTTAAGTAGATCGCATTAAGGCGGAAGCCGTCAACAGATGTCCACAGTTGTTCACGCGGTCCAGAACCGGTATGGAACGGGCTGGCGAACTCGACCGGGTCCTCCTTGAATCGGATCGGATCGGTGTGTAGCCTCGTCGAGGGTGGATACAACGATGGGGGAGAGGAGCGGAGCCGCTTTGCAGAGTCTCGCGAGTCTCTCGATTTCCGGTTGCTCGGGTACGTCAAGCGCAACAAAAGGTTATAAATAAGAAAGCTGGAGTGATTGACGCCCTTTTGATGTTGAGGAGTAAGCCGAAGAGCCGGCCACCTGGATGATGGAAAGCAACTCAGGAGCAACCCCGGCGGCGGCGCATAGCTCTTTTGGTTAGCCTTGGGCGTTGCAAACCGAAGAAAGAATTGGACGAAAACCAAACATTGGGGTGTGGCGTGGACGGGGGCTCCCCGGACATCTTTCAAGGCAGCCCTCCAGGGGCAGAAGCTTCCCCATGTTCAATTTCTCCATGGGCGCCGATGAAGCCCTCCTGACCCTGGGAAAAGAGCCACGGGGAGCCAACGGCACAAGAAGCCAAGAAACTACTGCCCGTATCCGACGTTCAATAGCAACGTGCCCGCCTGTCAGCTGCTGTGATGCCAACCACGGCCAACCTATCAGCCAACGACAAACGACCACCAAGGCAACTGAATACCACCCCCAGAACCTGCCATTTCCTCAGCACTCTTGGGTAATTTTTCTTGACGCGCGTACTTCCTTTGTCTCGTGCGAGAAAGAAAGCAAGAAGAAGAAGAATGAATTCTCGCCCAGCATCAATCCAGCTTTGTCATGCTTCGGCCTCCCACTCCAAGGCTCCATCCTCTCAGCGAATACCACGGCTTACGTCGTTCCAGCCTGCGTTGATACACCTGCGGTGTAGGTCGATCCTCTCTGACAATTTCCTCCAGTTTGAAGCGCGGTCGTGAGGTTGCGCTGGACGCTGCGTCACTCGAAAATCGAAATGAGTGGTTCGGTTGGTTCTGCACTAAGCGAACGGCTCCAGGTTGAGGCTCGATTTGTCGAGTCACAATCAAAAAATTTCCCTCTAGAGATAAGCCGGGTTGGGCCTGGAGGCTAGCGCCAGTTCACCACTTTTCGGTCTAATCTGGGCAAGGGTTGTGAACGAAGAATCCTATCGTCTGGTAATGCTGAAGATCGTTGCTGAGAGATGAAGGTAGCAGAAGAGGGTGGGGAGTCTCAGAAACCCAAATCATGGAAGTCAAATGGAAGACGGTGGACTGTGGAGGGATGAGACCAAGGGAATCTTCAAGGAATCGATGTCAACAATCTTCAGATACACACACGTTCAGCCCCTCACTAAGTTTATACTATAGTCACTAGAGGTACACGACACAGGGGCATCTGCCACCGGGTCCACCGACTGCTTTGTTCCTCCCCCCGTTCGCCTGCTTGTAGGGCTGCTTCGATGTTCTTACAGCGTACATCGTCTGATAAAAAAGAGGCCCAAGCGGCCCAGGTCCGGCAGTTTTTAGGTCGGTTTCCATGGCAGTGCAAGAGTGCGGCATAGCTTTCAACCCAGAGGTTCAGGTCATTCTTCTCAATTTATAACAACCAAACACACAATATCCGACATCATGGGCCGATTCGAGTCTTGAGAACAGACCTGGGACGACGTTGTGGTTAGTGGTAGTGGTGGTGGTAGTTGAACGATAAACGCTGGACGTGACGGTCAAACGAGTCCCCAAAGGTCCCCCGTCGGACGGATACGGTCCGGCGCTGATCAGACCCGACACGTGGGACGGCATGCCACCACGGACTCTGCTCGGCCATGGTGTGCAACCAGTCTGCATTGTGCATTCATTGTGCAGCAGCCCTACGACACTAAAAAGACACCTGAAAATTTTGTCCTGCTTCGCTAGTGAGCTGGACTGGAGAGGGGGTTCATGGGTCATTCCACCGTCGCCGAAAAAGAAGGCCGTCGACACCCGGTCCACATCCCGAGGGGGTTGCAACTGGAGGTGCGACCCGCTCTTGTTCTTATCAAAAAGAGTCATTCGTTCCTGAAGGATTAATCCGAGTCACTCATCGAGTGATCTCCAATCGCACCTTCCGATCGCCCCATAAAGACCACAACATACTTACTGCACTGCGCAGTTTTGCTTCCGTCTTCTGATCCGTCCAGTTCCGTCCCGTCCACCACCACCACCAACAACAAAGCAGATCACCAACAACAACCGCAACCATGTCGATTCCCGTGGTAACCACCATTGAGCTCCAGTCGCTGCCCAAGTTGACCAGCGGCAAGGTCCGCGACCTGTATGAGATTGATGACAAGACACTGCTGTTCGTTACTACCGACCGCATTTCGGCGTACGATGTCATCATGGCCAATGGTGTCCCCCAGAAGGGCGCCATCCTCACACAGCTTACTGCTCACTGGTTCAAAGTCCTCGGGGAGCGGATTCCAGGTCTCAAGACGCATTTCATCAGCCTCACTCCTCCCCCCTCGGTCAGCGATGAAGACAAGTCCTTGATCCGGGGCCGTAGCATGCAGGTCAGGAAGCTCAAGGTCTTCCCCATCGAAGCTATCGTTCGTGGCTATATTACTGGTAGCGCCTGGAACGAATATCAGAAGACGGGCACGGTCCACGGCATCCCCCAACCTGCCGGCCTTCAGCAATGCTCTCCTTTCCCCAAGCCCCTGTACACCCCGAGCACTAAGGCAGAGCTGGGCGACCACGACGAGAACATCTCCCCCGAGAAGGCGGCCGAGATTGTTGGAGACAAGTACGCGGCGCGCATTGAGGAGTTGGCGCTCAAGGTCTACTCCACTGCGGCCGAGTATGCGCGCGAACACGGCATCATCATCGCCGACACCAAGTTCGAGTTCGGCCTGGATGAGGAGACGGACGACATTGTTCTCATTGACGAGGTCTTGACCCCTGACTCGTCACGCTTCTGGCCGGCCAGCGAGTACGAGGTCGGACGGGACCAGGACAGTTTCGACAAGCAGTTCCTGCGCAACTGGCTCACTAAGGAGGGGCTCAAGGCCAAGGACGGCGTCGAGATGCCGCAGGAGCTTGCTGAAGCCACGAGCGCCAGGTACAAGGAGGCCTTTAAGCTGCTTACGGGCAAGACATTGGAGGAAGCCCTTGGTGAGCTTTGAGAGTTCTACAGGATGGGGCTTGTTTTGTTGGGTTTGTTGTTGTTACTATGTGATTGATAGTTTGCTGGGAAAAGGAGTGACCGGGAAAGGTCTTCAAAAGGACTCGGCACTGTAACGAAAATACTGGATACACTCAAAAACAGGAGGCTGAGAAGGGGTATTGTGATAGACGCAAAAAAAAGACGAGGCGTGGAATTTGTCAGTCGGGGTATGGCAGGACAAGCAATTCCCAGGCCGAAGAAAGTATCAACAGGTTATGTCTGACCGCTGGTGATAATGGAATGGTGAACTGGTATAAGACCAGAATCAACGTTAACAGATTCCCGGTCAAACTGTTGATCGGGTTGGCACTTGGGTTAACAGCACGACCACGGAACATTCGGGTCACCTCAGGTTTGACACAAGTACCTCCAGACGGAGGATCAGTCAAGGAAAGCTAGGTTGATAAAAGTTCGTGTTCTCGAAAAAAAAGGGGGGTCTTTTGTTTATTTTAGAAACTGTTGCAAATCATCATCAGATACTGCAGCTAATCAACTCGTCGAGCTGGCATGTGCGCTGCAAAATCCAAACCGCCAACCCTCAGATCTGCGGCCACCATTCCGGCCTGCCCGCCCGCCGTTACTTCCGTAGTCCCGCCAAATGGGCATCTCCCGGCAATGTATTATGACGGAAGGCAGCGATGGAGGTGTCCCGTCGAATTGATGGAGGCTTTCGAGGAAGCTACTACAGCTGTCATCCGAGGGCGTGCAGACAGGAGGAGGTTCAGGTCTTAAACAGATACCTATGTACAACTACAGTGAGTCGCATCTCCGGTCTTGGTGAGAGACATTATGAATCTTGTGACGGTCGGCGACAAACGGGGCGTCTCATGTAAACTGACCTTCGACTGGCCAGTGACACTGCAGCCCAAAGTCCTTGTAAAAAGAAGCCAAGAAGCCAACCCAAATCGGGCCGCGATCGCCCTTCCTCCATAGGGTGGTATTCCACTGGATTCAAGGGTTTTTGGAGCATCCTGCACAATTCGGTTGCATTTCCCACTGGATGCTTTTCCCATCCGTGCCCATCCACCTTTCCCAGTTTCAATTTTGCACGGTATAGCACGCACGAAAAAGGACGACAGACTCTCTATCACGTTGCCCATTTTGGGCCCTACATTCTTGCCCTCCATTTCCTCACAGTCTGCGATTTCAGTCCGACATCCTTGAATACTAGCCTACCGCGGACGGTGATACCTAGGTACTACCTGGCCTGAGCCCAATTCGACTTTCAACACCAAACAAGAAAGGGTCGGTATCAACACATCAACTGCCCATCTCCTGCGGTCAACCTACCTATTCGATAACTACTCCGGGTCTTTACCCCCCGGGCACCTGATTACTCACTCACCGGATATCGTGACGGCCCGGGTATAACCTGACTGCCAAAAACGCTCGCCAACCCTGAACCCAAGGCTGGAAACGTGGAACCTCAATTCACCTTTACCCCATACCTCACCTCCACTAATCATCCCATGTCTACCAGTGCTTGCGTGTATACACATGGGATATTGTGCTAGCACCGAATAGCACCGGGCCTACAGCAGCAAAATACTACGACACGCCACGATTCCAAGGTCCTCCAAGGTCCCCTCCTGTCGGTCCCCGTCCCCCGATTCCCCGGACCATCTCCCTATCGTTACCTTTCGCCAGGTCGCGCGTCGGCGCTGCGCCTGCTACACCACTAACCAAATCTTCGTCCCGGTCGCCCATGTGACCTTTCTAGGTTCACCTGCTTGGGCCTGTTTTCGCTCTCTTGGTTTCCGAATCCTGTTTCTTTCTTCTTTGGAAAGGTTCGGTTGGTAGCGGATATTCCTTCAGTCCTTGCAAGAGGTTCACGATAAGGTATCCCCCCTCCCATCCGTCCTGTCCTTTGACCATCAACACCCAAAGCGGGAACGAACGACGGGAAGCCTGCAATCCTGCTGGAGATTCAGGAAAAATTGTGGCCTAGCTCGAATGTCAAATGCGTCTTTGCGCGCCTTTCGCCAACAGCAGCATCACCATCACCACCACTCCATCCCCCAAAAGCTGCCTGCTGGTGTCTCACTCCAGCCTCCAGTTCAGCGTCTACCCCTACCCTTGATACTATCGAGGTTTCCGTGTCTACGTCTAGGTTCTATAGTCGTAGATCGCAAAGTCGCAAGTCACATTCGTTTTTTGTTGCGTACAGTATCACTGCGCTTCCAATTTTGGCTCCCTAGCTCACCCACTCCGCGTCGGTCACCACCGGGAGGACGTATATCGAGGAATAGCTTTCTGTGTCGTGTATCTCAGCTCCCGCGTTCGTATCAGACATATCACTTTCCCCGCTGGGTATTTCCCCCCGGCTTGGGTGGCTTGGTGGATCACCAGTCGCAACGTCCAGTCCAGTCCCGTCCAGTCTTCTCAGGCTCTCCAGCCGCAGCGCCGTGCCGGTTGGGAGCGAGCAAGCAAGCAAGCCAGCAAGGCACCGGCAGCATTCATACTGAGACGACGACCGTAACCGACCCCGTCCCTACTGGAGCATCTTCTCCCTGCCGGTGGAAATAATGCATCCGTCCTTCCTGACCTCCGGCATTATCGATCTGCTCGAGGCCGACCAGCGCCCGTCCTTCATCGTCGCCCTAACCCCGCACCCGCCCACCATCGTCTACACGAATCCCGCTCTCGATGCAGATGCCCGCCTCCCGGACGCCATCACCACCCGCAAGCGCAACAATATCCAGCTGTGGGAATGGCTTACAGACCTGTCCGGTGCCTGCCCCAGTGGCACCGGCCAGGCAGCTGCCAACTTCTCCTTCATGAACATTTACTGGACCCGTACCATCGTTCGCCCTGACATGGTCGTTGTGGGCGCAAATGACCAACCGCCCTTCTCTGAACCACCGTCACAAAGTCGAGTCGACGAAGCCTCGCCTGTCGGAAGCACGGTCCCTCCCCCGGTGCGCCTGATTCCCGTCAAGGATGATGCGCCCGAGTCTATCCAGACGTCTGCTGCTACCACTGCTAATACCACCACCATCGCGGCTACCCTTGCAGTACCATCTTTAACATCCTCGATGAGCCTGGCACCTCCCGACTACACATCACTCAGCCGGACCAGATCTGGACCGCCAACTCTTCCTTTGGGCTCGGCCGAGTACCCACTGGCTTCCCCAGAGATGATCCAATCTCTCAAGCGTTCAACTACGGACCCGGGTTGGATTCTACCAGATATTTTGCCAGGTATGTGTCCCTGCCTCTTGTGCTGGCCCAGCTATGGCTCCATGAGTCTCCAGCTGACCTCTTGGTGATGAAGAAACACGGTCATTTCTCGAAGTGATACACAGTGTCGATTGGGCCGCAACGCCACTGGGGCCCATAAAAGACTGGCCCCCGACTTTGGAGCAGACCTTCCACCAAATACTCGCTGACAGTCGCCCCATTGCCATCTACTGGGGCACCAACTATGTGACCCTCTACAACGAGGCATTTAGTAAACTATGCGGTTCCAAACATCCGTCACTACTTGGAATGACTGTGGAAAATGCGTGGCAGGAAGCCGGCGAACAGCTGAAGGATGCCATGTCGCGTATAGCACGGAAGGAAGACCCGACGATCGAGGATGAATGGAGGTTCTTCATCGAAAGGGAACCCGAGGTGGAAGGAGGTCCTCACTGGCTCGAAGAGACATACTTGAAATGGTCGCTCGTCCCTATCCTCGAAAAGGAACGGTGCGTAGGATTTATACATCCGGTCGGGGACACAACTAGTGTGCGATTATGGGAGCGTCGCATGCAGATGCTCGTTGAGCTTGGTGAGGACCTGCCTGCCGCGCGCGATGTGAATGGTTACTGGAACAAGACACTCCAGGAACTTGCCGACGTCGATCCTTGTTACGATATACCGCTTGCGATTCTCTACAGCGTGGAGGCTTTTGAAGAGGGAAGCGCTATGAAAATCGGCAGCGATGGTCCCACAAAGCAATGCAGACTGGCCGGAGCTTTGGGAGTGCCAGAAGGCCATCCGATTGCTCAAACCGCGATCAACCTCAGCACAAACGAGCATGCTCTAGCACCAGCGCTTAGGGAGGCCGTAACAGCACACCAGCCACTTCTTCTTCAGACCAAGGACGGCACGCTTCCGCAGGAGTATCTCCGTGGTCTGCAGACGAGGGGTTTTAAAGATGATCCGTGCCGGGCTGTCGTGATCATGCCGATTCGGCCGACAAAGAAGGAAGACGCAATGGGGCTACTTCTTCTGGGTCTAAACCCAAGACGCCCTTACGACAACGACTATCGTCAATACATACTACTCTTGAGTCAAAAACTTACCACTTCTCTGGCCTCCGTGGTGCTTCTTGAGGAGGAAGCACGAAGAGGACGCAATGCGGCAGAGCAGGCTGCTTATGATCAAGCCATGCTCAAAGAAAAGCTGGCCATCCAAACAAAGGAAGCGAACGAGTCAATAAAGATGTTTGAAGCTCTTGTTGAGTTCGTTCCGGTCGGCATGTGTTTCGGCGATCCCCAAGGAAACATAACCTTTGCGAACGACGCGTGGTACAAGATGACAGGCTTCCCAGGGAAATGCCCCATCAGAAACAGTGGCTTCCTTGCCTGTGTCAAGGAAGAGGACCGCCAAAACATTGTCACTGCACACGAGAAACTGAAGACGGAGCATTACGTTGAATACGAATTCAGGGTAAAGCCAAAAAACCACACGAACGTCACTCCATCTCTAACCCGCAACTCTCCGAGCTTCGAGAAAGCAGGTCTGGATCTCGTCCCTATCGATCAGTCTAAGGAACGCCATATTTTTGCCACGGCTAAAGCAGAGCGCGCCCCGGATGGAAGCATCATACGGACCATGACATGCTTGACAGACGTTACGGCACACAAGCACGCTGCTGAAGAGGCGGTTCGACGAGCACAACAGGCTGAGAACCTCAAAAGGATGGCCGAATTCGCAACAGTTGGCATGTACGATATGGACCTTGAGGGGCGCCTTCTGGGTGCCAACAATGTTTTCTACGAAATGTGCGGATTGCCGAAAATCGATCCAACCGAGGTTACGATTAGACCGTTAGAGACGTGCGTCTGGGCAGAGGATGTGGGCTTGGTGATGAAGAAACTCAAGAAGATGGTCGCCGAGGATAAAGTCCAGAATGTGGAAGTCAGACTCCGCACAACATGGACTGCCGATGACGGTGCGGGCCACAAGATGGTTATGCCGCGATGGGTACAAGCGACGCTGATGCCTGTACGATCGGCCGAGGGTGTCATACAAACCTTCACTGGTTGTCTGAGTGACGTTTCGTTACAAAAGTGGCAGTTGGATAGGGAGAAACAACGGAAAGAGGAGGCGATCGAGTCCAAGCGCCAGCAGGAGAACTTTATCGACATGACTTCCCATGAGATGCGCAACCCCCTGAGCGCTATAATACATTGCGCAGACGCCATCACAGCCACGCTCTCGCGCGTTCAGGAGCTTGTCGGTGGCGACCATCATGGGAGCGACAGCGATGCGCGGAGCTATGTGAGCGAAGGTACTGCAGACAACCAGCCAAATCACGAGCTTCGTGCAGAGGTTTGTGAGCTGTTGGACAACGGCATCGACAGTGCAGAGACTATTGTTGGGTGTGCTCAACATCAGAAGCGCATCGTTGATGATATTCTCACAATGTCGAAGCTCGACTCCAAGCTGTTGGCTATTACGCCCATCACCGTGAACCCGGTTCAGATGGTCAAGGAAGCGCTCAAGATGTTCGAAGTCGAGGCTCGGAGAGTCGATATCAACCTAAGCATGGTTGTTGACCAGTCATATTACGATCTTGGCGTCAAATACCTGGACTTCGATCCGTCACGCCTGAAACAGGTTCTCATCAATCTACTGACCAATGCTTTAAAGTTCACCAAGACTGGTCCAACCCGCAACGTCACCGTCGGGCTAAGTGCGAGCTTGACACGCCCAACCGAGGCCACCAGTTCGGTACAGTTTATCCCGAGGTCCCAGGAGAGTTACGCCGAGGATAGCGATACAGCAAGCGTCCATGACCGTGGAGAACCCATGTTTCTCCTCTTTGAGGTCAAAGATACAGGCCAGGGTCTGACAGAAGACGAGAAGAAGAGTCTCTTCCAGCGCTTCGTCCAGGCGTCCAGTCGTACCCATATCAAGTACGGAGGCTCGGGTCTTGGATTGTTCATCAGCCGTCGGCTCACGGAACTCCAGAATGGCGCCATTGGAGTGGCCAGTCAACCGGGTGTCGGTAGCACGTTTGCTTTTTACATTGAAGCCCATCACCCCAGTGAGAGGTCTCTCCGTGATGCTGAGGCGACGGCGGTGGCAGCAAAGGCTGTCATGTCAGACTTGATGACCAAGGCTCCAAATATTCGCTCGATGCGCCCCAGTAATCCTCATAGGGGTTCGACATCGTCGCCGCGGCCAAGCCCAGTACCATCCAGTCCTGTAGTTGAGCTTGGCGGATTGGTAACACCGCCACCCCAGATTCGTGGCATCATGGTTGTTGAGGACAACCTGATCAACCAGCAGATCACGCGACGTGGTCTCACCAGTATGGGATTCACTGTTGATGTAGCAAACCATGGCCTGGAATGTCTTGATAAACTGCAGCGGACTGACCGCTATGTGAGCGACCAGGGTTCTGGCACTGCCCTGCCCATGAACGGCAGCATCAATAACAAAGGCGCCCTTCCCGCTCTGAATGGGTCCATCAGCCCATTGCCACCGCCAGTCAATGGCAGTTTCCTGAATCAAAACCAAGCACCACCAGCAACGACAACAATAGCCACACCAGCCACCAAGTTCCCCTTGTCAGTCATCCTCATGGACATCGAGATGCCCATTCAGGATGGGCTCACGTGCACGCGCAACATCCGCGAGCTGGAACGCCAGGGCAAGATCACGGGCGGGAGGTTACCAATCATAGCCGTCAGCGCCAACGCCCGCATAGAACAAATCCTCGAGGCCAAAGAGGCCGGATGCGATGACGTGCTGATTAAGCCATATCGGATGCCGGAACTGCTGGAGAAGATGCGGATCGTCATGGGAACGGTTGCTAATGCTAATGCTGCTGCTGCTGCTGCTGCTGCTGCTGCGGCTGCTGCTGCTAGTGCTGGTCCTGGTGCTGGTCAGACAGGTTTAGCTTCAAGCTCGGCTGCTTCGGGGTCAGGATCGCCAGGTGGATTCGGCGGGCTCGGCGAGCCTGTTGTTCAAAGACAAATACAGACAGGAGAGAAGGAACAGAAACAGGATACAACAACGCAAGCACAGAGAGGAAGTCAGAGCCAAAGCCAGCGGCAGCAAGGAAGCGAGGAGCATGAAAATCAGCACAAGCAGGCAGCTGGGCAGTCACAGGCACAATCACAGGCGCAGGCGCAGACACAAGCACATACGCAGACGCAGACGCCGAATCAAGGACTTTCACCAGATGGCAAGCCGGTAGAAACCCCATGGACCTCCCCCTCCCCCTCCCCAAAGCAGACAACACAAACCAAGGTGGAGTTGGTGTCGATGCAGCAGCTGAGTCCGTGACTCGGTTTTCTCAGATCATCCGTAGCCTTAGGTCGATAAAGTCTCCTATTCGGTGGGTAGGGCTCGGACGGTTGGGGATGACAGCTTGGGAATGGTTAGGCTCAAGCTTGGGCGTTTTGACTTGGGAGTTGGGAAGTTGGGAGTTGGAGATGGGCGAATGACGGAAAGCTTGAAATGTCACTGGGTGTGTAAGAGAAGGAAGGATGGGAAAATCGGTCGGCATTGTTGTTGGTGTTGTTCAAACAATTGCGGGGCCAGAGCCAACTAGAGCCATCCCGAGCCAGGAAAAGTATATTGGCAGTATAGAGGTAGATTTTAAGTCTGCTTTCTTGGTTTTGATTATGTTGCTGCGGTTGCTGTTGTCTGTTTGTTTTTCGTGGTTCCGTCATCTTCCGTAAGCGCGCGCGCATTGTGTTCCTCCTCTTTGTCGTCGTCCTCTAGCATTGCTCTGGCATTTGAATACGGGTCCTCTGGTCTCGTTCGTCCGATGGATATGGTCACAGGCGGAATCTTCCCTTGGACTCGGGATCGGATCTGTTGGAAACGGTAGATGCGATTACCCCCCGCATTTGCGAACAAAGCATACCGACCTTACCTTACTTGTTCGGACGTCGCTGGTCAGCTGCCAGCCTGATATGGAGATGTTAACCTCACATATATTGGTTGATATATGTGCCTGTTTCTTGACAGGCTGATATGGCGCATGCATGTTGTCTGGCCTGAACGTGTCTATGCAAGAATGATCGACGTCCCATGCATGGTTGGTAAGTCATACTTCCGAACTACTGAATTCTTTACATCCTCAACTCACCTCAGACCTCTCCCATAGTTCCTGAGGCACTCATTCGAGGCATTGTACCACTGTCAATCTGGAATTTCCCCACCGGTCAACTCCTGTAGTACACTAAGATTTGTGCGTACAGTAATCGCATTCATCATGGTGTATCCGTGCAAATTCCGAACTCGATGATATTGTGGACTGGTGGCTGGTGTAGCTGTCGTATCTTCTGAACACTAGTGGCTAAGCAGACTTGCTGTATATCAGTCCAAGCACCAACCGCAGTCGGACTTTGCAAATCGTGGCTTACAATCTCGCATCTACTTGCTTGCTGCTTTATCGTCACCTCGGGTTCCTGTCGTGTCAGCCAGCCACTTCAGCCACCTGCCAGGGCGAAGGGAGGACAAAGACCCGAGGGAGGTTTCACGATCTTGAAGCGGCGGGCGGGAAGAAGGGAGCATCTTCGAACCTCCGACGTCTGACTTCTGACCTCTGGACTTCGGGTTCTGATTTCAAGTGTCCAATTGAACACCACGACGTGTGACAGGCAGGCACAGGCGCAATCCTACCTCAGCCAAAAGTTTTTCAAAGCACACTGCATGCGCTTTGCTTCCCGAAACTGGCACCTTATCAATTGTCTCACTTTCATGGCACCTCGATCAAATCAGGCGACTGATGCCTCGCGACATGACATGCAGTCGGTAAAGAAACAAGCCCCTTGGGCAAAAACCGACTCTACGATAACGTTGCCGCTTGGTCATGAAAGCCAGACCTGTTGTAAACACAGCGGTGGCTTGGCAATGGGGCTAAGTGCGCGCGAGACTGCGTTCAGTAAAGGAGACGACGTCGATGCCATGTACCAACAACTCAACGGCCTCTTTCATGCCATATCCATACTTCTAAACACCTCCATCTGGCAGAGCGAGAAGCAAAGAGCAGTGGCCGTGTTTCCTTCCAGTTCAGTTGGCCAACTTCGATTGTTCCTCAGCACTGCATGGTCAATGAAGATTTCTCTGACCGGTTATAAAGATACCCTACCAACCTACCTCTACTAGTAGACAGGTAGTTTTGGCTTCGCTCACCATCGGGGCTACGTCTCATCTTGTTCTCCTGTCCTCGAAAGAATTAATTTCACAACTTTGAAAAGAACCATTATCTTTTTTTCAACTTGCCATTTTCCGATCGATTCATTCACATCATCACTAAGCTCAGTCTCACGCCCGTCAACACCAGACCATCATTGACAACATGACAGCCGACAAGCGCGGTCCCCGCATCCACCGGATGACACTGTTCAAGATTCCGGATGAGACGAATCAGAAGAGGTTGTTGGATGCGTATCATGTTGTTGCGGAGGAACAGAAGAAGGTTCGTTGATGTTTTTCACTGAGCTTGTTTTACTATCCGACCGTCCCAATCAGTTGCCATACTACTCCAGCACCTCGATTATGAGTGCCTGATCGTAGTTCGCCTCTCGGCCCATCCCGACCCGCTCCTTCCCCTTCAGTTCTCTTCTTCTTCTACACACTAAGTATTTTCAAACTCTGTTCTTCCTCGCTCGCACCTTCCTTTCCCAGCTACCTCCCCCCAATAGTCAGTAGTCCCATAACCCCCTCCCCCCCCCCCC